TAGAATGGCTAAACTGTACATAAACGTTTACGAGTTAGATCCTCCCAAACAAAATGATTTTTCCCAATCGTACGCGATACCGCGGTACGCCAAAGAATGATTATTTCTTTTCTTTTTTTTTCAGGGTCATTCTGACTTCTTTCCAAACGTACGCGTACGCCAAAGAATGATTTTTTTTCCTCCTTTTGTTCTTACATACAATTGTGCATTAGTTCTGTTTCCTAATTTTTCTTACCAAGGAAAAGAAAAGAATACTTTGAAGAAGAAAACGAAATAAGAGAATCAAAATATTTAGGAACTCCATATCCAAATCGCAACATGTAAGATTGGAGACGAATCGGTCAAGCAAATCCATATCCCGATTGTAACCTTCGCCTATTTATATTAGAATTGAACCGAGCTCGTTCACAACTCCCAAGCTTCCTCTATTATTGGTTTTATCTTTTTGTGGGGAAAAAATTTGGAAATTGAAAGAAACAGTAAACGCACAGGGTCAACCTCTGGCGATCATGATAATAATAGTAGTTACATGTCCGAGTGGCTTTTATTTGAATTGCTAGCTAAACTTCCTGTTAAGGATGTGTTCCGATCTAAATCCGTCTCGAAACAATGGTTTTCTTTGATCTCCGATCCTTATTTCCCCGGTTTGTACATCTCCAGACTGCCCTTAACATTAGGTTGCCAATCAGGCCGCCAATTTGCCGTGATTCAATCAAGAACACAATTAGCCCATCATCAAGAAGATGTAATCCTTCAGAAACCTGAAGGAGGAGGAGGAATATATAATGACTTAATTACTTTACCATCTCCTCCTATAAAAGGAGGAGGAGGGCCGAGGAGTTTCCGTGCCGCCAATTAGGGAAGGGACTAAATGTGAATTTTTCATATGTAATGCTATGACCAAACAAATGGTTTAGTCTTCCTACTCCAGCAGATTATTACGGGTACAACTTGTTTTTCTTCGGATACGGGTAGATGGGTAAAACTACAACGCCAGAATAACATCAAACTACAGTCATCCGATTAACTTTGAGAGCCGAGAAAGAGGCGTTCTTCTGAACAACGTTCTTCACTGGGTCGATCATGACGTTGGAATTCTTTTGTACGATCCTTACGTCAATCCTGAAAAGTATAGCATCATTGAGCTTCCACTCGACGATTTATCTGATGGATATCTTATAGGGAAGGGTTCTAATATTGGTGTTTGTCGAGGACGCATCATGTATTTTGAAAAGATTGTGGATGAGGATCATCTTTGCCATAGATTCCCGATATGGGAACTCCAAGACAACTACCATTGGCGTCTTCAACATATCACAACAGTTCATTGCCCGGCGTGGATGTGGCCGGATGCTAAATTCGTGTCGTTTCATTCATATGATCCAAATGTAGTATACTTGGATATGGGAGTGACAAAGGAATTGGTATCATATAACCTGGGGACAAAGACAGAGCAACCACTTCAATCATCATCGGACCAGAATGGGGACTGATTTCTTATGGAGCTTCCACCTTGGCCTATCTTCATTCCACCTTCTCTTATGTCGGAAAAGAGAACCAATCACTGAATCAACCACGACTGTCTTGAGTGGTTAATTTTCCTGCATCAAGTAAGCCTTTGTAGAAATTGTAAGCCCCTGTTTCAAAACTCAAAATCATTTTGTGTCAACGGCTCCGAAACAAACCATTCTGGATGAATCAGAAACAGACGACTTAAACATTCTCTGCTCGTTACTTTTTATCAATGAAATAAATATAATTCATGCATGTTACCTTGATCCTACCAGGATATGCTTGCAAACTTTTTATCAATAAATTAAGAATTATTCGTATAATAAATGTTATCATAAACAAATCTTCGATTTACTACTTGTTTCCAAATCTCAAGAAACATATCATTTCTTTTACTTCTTCTGGTTCGACCCTTTTGTGTGAGACACAAACAGGATCTTCTACTTTATGAAGTGGAATTGGAAAATGGAGAGATGGAAGGCTTACAAGGACAGACTTCAAAGTGACATCAAGGAACTGCTCTGCCAGCCCTAGCTTCATTGTGTCGCTGACTGGTTGATGCTCTGAGGTTGGACTATGGGTTTGTGTAACTCAGGGTGGTGAATGATGGGGTGTCAAACCACACAAATAAATTAACCTACTTTAAACTACAGTAATATAGGGAAGTAAGGTCGTCTCCTTAGAGAACGATGGATAGTTTCCTTCAAATTAATGCAAAGGAGATTTTTGATTATTTTTCTAAACTAAGATAATGAAATACAAATAACAAACACTAAATAAAAGAAAAGAAATCCAAGTAACAGACTTCTGACTCAAGAGACGGATAACTCAATTATTCCATTAATCACAGGCTACTAAAACTACTCTTGCAATTTAAGCATTCAAGCAAAGATCTATTAGGATAGCCGTAATAAATCAATTAATATCCCTAAATTAACTAACCAAGCCTAGCACTCAATTAGTCCTTATCATAATTCGGCTGGGCACGATAGCGTTCCATGCCAAACAATGATAGTATAAAAACCAAGGAAATATAGTTGAACCAAAACCTAAACAATTGAGATAGCTGCAACTATTCAGACTTTGTCTCATTGATTCCACATTGAAACTAACATGCATATTCAATATCTCACTAATACACATGCTTTGTCTAATTACTACTCAGTACTGCCGGTTCTTGTCTATTACGTAACATTCAACTAGCAGATAGCACTAAAAATAAATAACAAATCAAGTTGTCAATTTGAATGATATCTACTTTTATAACTCAATACAAGAATCAAGGAATACTTAAATTATAGGCAAGAACAATAAATTAAGAACAAAACCTCATAATGGAATAACTGAATAAATCCCTTGAATCAGAAAGAAAATCCTTAGCCACTCATAGTTGGAAGTATGGCGGTTTGATTCTCCATGGAAAACAATGAAAATTCGGGAAAAACAAGAGGTGGGAGGTGCTAGCCTATGGCCTATGCACGGCTGCCCTCTAAAATAAAACTTAAAGTATATTTATATGGGAAATTTAGGTCGGCCGCTGGAAAAGAAGAATTAGTCCATGATTTGCATCTTTGGTCCCTCAAGTTTGCATTATTTTCACTTTTGCTCCCAAACTTCTTCAATTTTGTATTTAAGTCTCTCATCGTGCAAATTAGCCCAAATCAGCTCCAATCTCTTATTTCAAGCTTCTAACAAGAATTAATAATAAAACCAATGAATTAAATCCATCCGAATCCATAAACTAATAAAATATTAACAATTAAAACACAATTTATGGACTCTATCAAATTCCCCCACACTTGAAGTATGCTTGTCCTCAAGCATTAAAGAACACATAAAATTTAACTTTGCTTATTTAAGATGCTCTTTAGAAACTCTAGCACTCAAAAGAAATCAGGGTAACAATGAAACAAAGATTTACGACCAAGTCAAATACATTATATACTTTTACCCTTTAACCCTTTGTGTGTGTGTGTAAACCACTCCCTAGGGGCATCACTATCACACATAGCATAAAATACAAAAATTCAAATGCAAATATGCCACTGAAGAGTGAACTTAAGATCCCCAATTCAGACCGTACTTCAATGCAATGTTACTCCTACACATATTATGAAACCGAAGGCTTACAATTACACCTCACAATATAAAATTCAACGCACTTCCCTCGTACCCATTCTTCGGTGCCCATATGGCTTTTCTTCAGGATCTTTCCCACTCAGGCCCCTACCTAGAGCATTTTTCCACTTGATTTATGTAGTGATTTACATAGTGGCTCAGCAACTTAGGGTAGTCTACTGACTCATATTTTCTCACCGACGGACCTGAGGACACCGTGCTAGTTGTTTGCCAGACTTCTCACCTATCAATGGGCTAGTATCAACATTGAATGCTCTTCCTTTTCTCCCTCTTTAAATTGTACCTAACCTCAGAAAAACATCCGCCAACAACCCCTCCCCCACACTTACTTAGTATAAAGTACTTTAAGCAAGAAGGTAAAAAGGCTATTTTCAAACTACCACTCCCCCGTTTTTTTGGGTTTGAAGTGATGATAGGGTTAATGCCTTATTTTGAATTCCATAATATAGTAAGGTCCCACATGCAAATGGTTCAAATATTGAATGAATCAAATCAAACTTTGGCATATCGCATGAATTTAGGCAATTACACATACATGTTAAGTTTATCCCAGAGTTATGGCTAAAGTGCGCAAGTATTCAGGGTATAACACATAATGCACAGACTCAAAAGAAATTTTTGTCCCAATGTAATTAGATTTCATAGAGTCTCAAATTAAATTCATCATTGGCTATTTTTGGTATTTTTCATTTTTCTTGATTTTTTTTCAATTTTTCAATTTTTTTTCACAAAACACGCAAAAACACACAAAAGGAAACAGAAACCCCTCCCCCATACTTAATTTGTACATTGTCCTCAATGGAGCTTATTGTACTCACACAAAAGAAATAAATCAAGGAGCTAAGCACGACTTTATAGTGTGGGATACAACAACACATTTAAATTCAATTACTCAAATTCAATACCCACGAAACAACCACTAAAGGCACAAATCAAACTCAACTCATAGCAGTATAGAAGAAAAAATATTCAAACAAGTTGAGACTTATAAACATTGATACTCTCAACACCAATTCAAAAACAAACAAACTCCAAAAAAGACCCTCATCAAAACCGCAGCAAAAAGAATTAACAAAATCGGAACTGCTGTAAAAAGATGAGATTCGAGACTTCCTGGAGAAATTGGGTCCAAACTGAAAGCGTTGAATGGAGATGGAGGGCGTCGACCTCAGCAATGGGAGTGGATAGCATGAATGCCTGTGATGATTTCGTCTCCAAGGATTAACGGACATCAAAGCACCAAACAGCGCCCTATGGATGAATGAGGAATTGGTCAGATGAGCCCGCAAAAGACTGCAATTGCATTGAACACTTGCCGAATTCAGATGCAAAGCGAGCCAGTGTCATGGTTAATCGGCAGCGAGAACCACAACGATTGGGACTGCAACCAGCGGCAACAAGCAATAACCACCAGCAAAAGGGAGAAAGGCAATCGATGGCAGAATGTATTTGAAACAGCAGCAGCGAATTTTGGACTCGGCGGGAACGCACACAAACGGCGGCAAGCAGCAATGGTCGACGAAGTGCTCTACAATTGCAGTAGCAGAGTGATTGATGATGGTGTTTTCGACTGACGGCAACAATCGGCGGCAGCAACGTTCGAACCACCGATTGATGATTGGGGAAGGTGGAACACCGGAATTGATGGAGTGGGACGTAGACAATAGCAGCAATCGACGATGATGATGGTGATGAAGAACCCAGCAAGCAGAGTGGTGGAAGCAGCGGCGATGGCGGACAAACGGCGGCCAGCAATGGTGATGAAGAACGCCAAACAGCGGCAGTGAGCCGGCGATAGTAGAAGGAATTGATGATGCGGCCCGCTGGACTGCTCTGGGAACGACATGGCAGTGATGGATAGTGGTGGTGGCAGCGACAATTGGAACTGAAGAACGAGAAACATTGGCCGCCAGCAGGCAATGGAAATCAGTGGGCTGACCATCGATCGAATTGAGGTTGAACTGCCGTTGGTAAGTTTGGGAGTTTAGAGTCCTGTAAAAGGAAATAAAGAAAGTGAAAACGTAACCTTTTTTATTGGTTTTCTGATTTTTTTTTCTTTTTTTTCTAATAAAGGAAAAGAGATGAACTTGTTAGAGGTGATCACGTCCAAGGGGAACTCCAATTCTGCCCAAAACTTCAAAATTGCGTCAAAATAAACTAAGCTCTCTTTCACATAGGCGTGCTCATGCCTAATAAAAAGAATGCTCCAATAAAATCTAGCGAATCAAATGTGTACTTACTCGTGATCATGCTTAACAGAAACTCTCCCTTTTTTTTTCTAAAGATGAAAATACTAAACACACTAACCAACAAAAATAAACTAACTAATCAACACAATAAAATTTAAGTACTTTGGGTTGCCTCTCAGGTAGCGCCTTTCTTTAATGTCTTTGGCTAGACAAATTCCATGCGTCTCATGGCGGAAATTTTGAAACTCCACCTAACAACGGTAGATAAAATTCTGAGCAATTCCCAACAAAAACAAAGTTAGACGGACCAAATTCATATTTTGAATCGACAAAATGAGGCGGAAAGTAGTCTCCTCTAACTAATTCTTTAAACACTCCAGATCTAGCTAGATTTTCTAAAATTGAATCTATCTTTAGTCCCATTTCAGGAGGTCGACGAAGATGTCCATATGCGCAATCTGGAGATATAGGTGGCGGTTTGAACTCTAGTTTTGGAGATTCCCATTCATTAATTATATCAGCAATAGAACACGGTAGAGTAAGTATACCTGGATCAGTGCATTTGGAAGAAAGTATTAATTGTAACATACCAGATGCATCTTCTCCAACTACTACCTCATTCTTAGAAATGTTCTCCGTCACTTTCTGTTTGGACTCCTCTATCATTGGCTCTACTTGCATATCTGAAGAAGAACTAACAAATGCATTAGTCGGATTAAATAAAATTGAAATATCAATTACCTCATTTTCGTCCAATGCCTCTGCCTCATTTTTCTCTACTCTCATATGTTTCAAATCTTCTGCGTTTTGAGTAGCTGTAGTCTCGACACCATAAACCTGTTCTATGAATAGATATTTCATTTTTTCTAATTCGGCCCTTGAGAATCTGCTCGGAAATGGAGGAAGTACCACATAATGTGGCTGTTCTCTAGCAATTTCTTTCTCTACATTCGTCTCAGATACATCATATTTGGGCGTCGCTACTTCCTCGCTCATGGCACAGACACTCTCTATGGGATTAATTACCGATGGAGATGGTAATTCCACAGGCTTTGAGACCTCGAACTTGCTAATAGCATTAGCTAGCTGGAAAATTCGGCTCCCCAAATCCTGTATGCTTGCACTTGTTTCCTGTTCAAATTCAAGAGTATTAGCTGCCAAAGCGTTAACAATCTCATCTAAAGACAAACCTGAGCTTTGAGACTGTGGAGGTTCCGGAACATGATGCACTTGTGGTTGAGATGGCTGATACTCATAGTTGAAATTCTGATAATCCTGCCAGCCTGGATCATATGAATATGAACGAGGTTCGTATCTTTCTTGTGGCGGTCTCCAAGATTCCCTCATGGCATTCTAACCTCCCACTGATAGTGTGGTAATTTTGGACAAAAATCGCTAGTATGACCAGTCATTAAACAAATACCGCATCTTTGGACTTGTTTCTGTTGACCTATAGCCATATTTTTCACAAGAGAAGTTAGTTCAAATAATTTTTGCTCAAGATATGAAGAACTTACCTCATTTGTATTCCAATGGCCATCTTGCCGATTCCAAGATTGATGTGCGTATGAGTCCATTGCAAAAGGAAAAAAAAACTAAAAAAAAACTAAAATAAAACAAAACAAAAATTTAAAGGAAACAAATCAATTAACACCGTCCCCAGCAACGGCGCCAATTTGATGGGGTGTCAAGCCACACAAATAAATTAACCTACTTCAAACTACTATAATATAGGGAAGTAAGGTCGTCTCCTCAGGGAACGATGGATTGTTTCCTTCAAATTAATGCAAAGGAGATTTTTGATTATTTTTCTAAACTAAGATAATGAAATACAAATAACAAACACTAAATAAAAGAAAAGAAATCCAAGTAACAGACTTCTGACTCAAGAGACGGATAACTCAATTATTCCATTAATCACAGGCTACTAAAACTACTCTTGCAATTTAAGCATTCAAGAAAAGATCTATTAGGATAGCCGTAATAAATCAATTAATCTCCCTAAATTAACTAACCAAGTCTAGTACTCAATTAGTCCTTATCATAATTCGGCTGGGCACGATAGTGTTCCATGCCAAACAATGATAGTATAAAAACCAAGGAAATATAGTTGAACTAAAACCTAAACAATTGAGATAGCTGCAACTATTCAGACTTTGTCTCATTGATTCCACATTGAAACTAACATACATATTCAATGTCTCACTAATACACATGCTTTGTCTAATTGCTACTCAGTACTGCCGGTTCTTCTCTATTACGTAACATTCAACTAGCAGATAGCACTAGAAAATAAATAACAAATCAAGTTGTCAATTTGAATGATATCTACTTTCAAAACTCAATACAAGAATCAAGGAATACTTAAATTATAGGCAAGAACAATAAATTAGAACAAAACCTCATAATGGAATAACTGAATAAATCCCTTGAATCAGAAAGAAAATCCTTAGCCACTTATAGTTGGAAGTATGGCGGTTTGATTCTCCATGGAAAACAATGAAAATTCGGGAAAAACAAGAGGTGGAAGGTGCTAGCCTATGGCCTATGCACGACTGCCCTCTAAAATAAAACTTAAAGTATATTTATATGGGAAATTTAGGTCAGCCGCTGGAAAAGAAGAATTAGTCCACGATTTGCATCTTTGGTTCCTCAAGTCTGTATTATTTTCACTTTTATCCCAAAACTTTTTTAATTTTATATTTAAGTCCCTGATCGTGAAAATTAGCCCAAATCAGCTCCAATTTCTTATTTCCAGCTTCTAACAAGAATTAATAATAAAACCAATGAATTAAATCCATCCGAATCCATAAACTAATAAAATATTAACAATTAAAACACAATTTATGGACTCTATCAGTGAACTTGTGTAGATTACTCGAAACAGAGGGAACCACAACAACAAAACCAAGCATGGCTTCCACAACCACATCAACAATTCGTTCAAGGTTTAGGGAATAAGTATTCTACCTATATATATATATATATATATATATATATATATATATTGTACAAGGGTTGAAAGTTTTTTTTTTTTCTTTTTTTGTGTATGTAAAACTAAGGCAGGTTTTGGTCGATGTGAGATTTATACACGTTATATTAATCAATTTGGCAGTACGTGTGATCAATTTTTTCTTAGTTAAGTTTTGATAAATTAATTTTGTGGGTTAATGCTTGTGCTTCTTCATCAACTTGTTTTGGCTCGTGGATAAACCAACTTGTGGTTTCTACATCTGGCATCAGAATTGGGCTAATATCCAACAATTATGGAAAATCGAAATATTAATTAGGTGTTCAGTTCTTAAATTATAGAGACTGACAAAATTAAAATTATTGGAATATTCAGATAAAAAGGCATTGTTATGCTTTTGAGTTGTTAAAACACAATAGAGACAAATTGGCTGCAACCCCTAAAGAGACCATAAAGAGGAGAGATAGTTTGACATCGTCTCAAGTTCATCAAGCTACTCTTATATTGCATACAGGTAAGAACATGGAGTTATTATCATTGAATTAGTACTTTTGTTATTATGCCTCTGATGAATAAACTACTACTAATTGATCCAATTTGCTAAACACTACTTCAGTTATAGTACAATAAATATCTCCCCGAAATGAAGGTTAATAACATACATTTATCAGATCCGATGCACCAATATTCAGAGTGTTACTATTTCAAAGTCTAATACATCCAAGGGGAAACTATAGAGGCTAGTCTAGCCTTTCCAAGTTCGGATGGTGCAATTCAAGTTCATCATTGGAAGATATATAATGCTGAGTTAATGAATTTTCAAATTGATACGAAAGAAAAGAAAAGGGGAAAAAAAAATCATGTCTACCAATAAACCTAAACAAACCAGACGAACATATTGCTTAAATAGTTATGTATATACTATTTCGTCAAACTTGACTTTTCCTCCTTTATGCTTCACCAGCCACCATTGTCAGGCGCTAATTTGAAAACCTTGGTTAAAAGATGTAAGGAATTAATGGCAGCTTAATATTTCTGGTTGATCTAACTGGAAGGACATCCATAAGGGTCTCCTGTTACACTTCGTTTTTTGAAGGTTGTTGAATTTCATTTCCAAAAATTACTTGGGAAATGGATGACCTCAGCCTTTGGGAAAGTGTTTTTTAATTTTTTTTCCCCCTAAAACATACTGATAACGGAATCCCTCATTAGTCAATGCTATTAAAACCACAACAAAATCAAGATAATGTACATTAACTCTTGTTCTGGATCAATAAACCTAACAGCTCTACTTTTTAGTCTGGGTTAATTTGTTTCAATTGACTCGTCTACCAAAGTAGGTTTGTTATTCACTCATAATTTTTCAAGAGTTTCCAATAATCTCGTTGGAATATGTATAAATCATCAAGTTTGAATTTTTACCATTTATTGTTTTATTAATTTCTGATAATTGGATCTGTACACTGACTCATGATTAGTATAAATAGGTTGAGTTCAGATGAATGACAGAAACATTCTCATGTCTTCTCTAGATATCCATCTTTAGGATCCATTTGATCCACGGAAATAGAGAACCACTTTGATAAACAGTTTAAGATTTCAAATGGCAAACTCTAGGGATGGTGATTTTCCAGGACTTCCTGAGGAATTGATTTGCCAAATCCTGATTTGGGTCGCTGTCAAATCCCTGATGAGGTTCACAAGCGTATGCAAACTTTGGCTATCCATAATTCTGAATCCCTTGTTTGCCAGGGCTTTTCAGGGAGGTTCCAAAGGTCTTCTCCTTGTCCACCGCACCGGCAGCATACCTCATTTTGGCAGCAGCGATTTCTTCCTCATAAACTTTCCAGAAGGCGATGCGCCGACAAACATATCTTTTCTCTACACCATGGATTTCGGACCCTTGGTGATGTCCTCACTAGTGAATTGCTTCGTGTGTCTTTACAAAGGCGACTGGGAGTCGTATCTGTTCAACATCGCGACCCGGAAAATGATTTGCCTTCCTGATTCGAGATTGCACGGTTGTAGCCGCTGCATTTACCATCTTGGTTTTGATCCCTCCAGCCAAATTTACAAGGTCCTGAAGACCTGCTACAGTAGCAGGAAAGGTCGTATGAGGACCGAGATTTTAACTATGAAAGCTCGTTCGTCGTGGAGACGCATTGATTCTCCCCCTGGAGAGAAATGTATATTTTCTGGTTTGTGCAGGAATGGAGTTCTGTACTGGACACATACAGATGGAAGTCCTGAACCAAGCCGTCTGCTTTGTTTTGATGTTGCTCAAGAGAAATTTCGGTTCATTTCTCATCCTAAGAAAAGCTATTTTCATTTGTTGTTGTTTGGACCAAATCTTGGGTTAGCCTCATCATCCAGACTTCGCGATTCTTCTCAGGAAACTCTGATGTTTTACAATGATGATAATCAGCAAATTGGCAGTGGTAGCAGTGGACAGAGCTCTGGTTCTTGGAGACAGCATGTATTTCGCCTCCCAAAATCGACAGGAGAACGCGAATTCAGTCCTGCAGGTGTACTTCCGAATGGAAAGGCGATTTATGTTGATGAAAATTCTTGGAATTGGGAATTTCCAGTGCCATTTTATTTGTCCGATCTAAACAAAGGGGAGCTCGAGAAGCGATTTATATCAGACTGTTCTCCAAGGATTACTGAATTCGAACGGGTTGAACGCTGGTATCATGCCGTTTAGCTCTATCCTTTCCCGATCATAGTTCCTGACTACTTGGTTAGGCATCCCAGCCTGGTTTCAATGGTTTCCTGCTGTTTTTTAGATTTCATTCATGTAATCCATTTGCCAGAAAATAATGCATAAAGTATTTTGTACATTGATCATTTCTGGTCCTGTCTTTTCATCTTCTCAATTATTGTTATGATAAATACCGGGGAGAAGAATGTCAATTTCGCAAACAGATAAAATTACTGCATATGAAATACCGAGACGAAGTTGTTAAGGAGGACTCGGGGACCTTGGGATCAAGAGGGAATAACAATGAACACAACCACTCTACATTCCTCCTTGTTACTTGCAGTATTTTGGGAACTTCCCCATTCTTGTAGCCCAGGCACCGAAAAGACAATAACTGCGTTAAAGTCTTTGTGCATTGAACCAATGCAATAAGCTCTTGGAAAATTGATGACTGAATTTTTCGTCTTGCTAATGGCGTACATCGAACCCTTTGATTGCATAACATCCGATGTGATGCCCTCTTGCTTAAGTCTTGTCTAAAGATTACTGCTGTTAGATATGCAAAACAAAGAATTACTAAGTGTGGTTTATCAATTTAAATGAGGGTAGAAAAACACTTGAAAGAAGTACTAGTCCCTTTTGGAAGTTGAAACAGGTGATCACTCAGCGTGTATTAGTCCGACTCTTCTTCCCAAGTAAACATGGTTATTCAATTCATGTTTTCGTAACGTCTCAGCTTGTCCCTTCAAAATCTGTGTCGAATTTAAAGCAAATACATTGGATCCCACCTGTTCTCATTCAGTACGTCTTTTTCCGTCAGAATTTGTTTAGAAAGCATTGGAGTCATATCCGTCCTTCATTTTCCCTTCGCATTTCAAAACTTTTGATTGGCCTATTGAATTTTATAAATAGGTTCAGATCCTTTCTAACTTTCTTAACTCCTACAGCATTTAGAAATTCTTATATCTTCTTCTCCTGAGATACCATCGTTAGGATTCATCTGATCCATGACAAATTACAAACACTTGTAGAGCATATTTCAAATGGCGAAATCCATGGTTGAGGGTTCTTCATTGCTTCTTGAGGATTTGATTTGGGATATCCTGATATTCATCCCTGTCAACTCTCTAATGAGATTCAAATGTGTATGCAAATTCTGGTTATCAATTACTCCCTCCATTCCAAAATAAGTGACGTCCTATACTTTGCACATAGTTTAAGAAATTCTTAAATAGGGTAGTAAAATTACTTGAATAACCTCAACCAACCCCATTTAAAAAATGTTCACCAATAGTATTAATTCTTTTGGGGATAATTTTAAAAATTTTGGACAAAAAGTGCATTAAAATGTGAGAACGACACTTATTTTGAAATTTTTTCATTTTACTAAAACGACACTTATTTTGGAATGGAGGGAATAACCTCAACCAACCCCATTTAAAAAATGTTCACCAATAGTATTAATTCTTTTGGGGATAATTTAAAAATTTTGGACAAAAAGTGCATTAAAATGTGAGAACGACACTTATTTTGAAATTTTTTCATTTTACTAAAACGACCCTTATTTTGGAATGGAGGGAGTATCATGAATCCATTGTTTGCTAGGGCTTCTCGTGGCGGTTTCAAGGGCCTCCTACTTTCCAACCTTCGATACCCTTTAACTCCCTCACACCCCAGTATCGATTTCTTCTACTTAAACTACTTGGAGGATGAGGTGACAACAAACATTATTCATCACTATAGTATACCTACTGAAGGGAAAATGAAGTCCACCCAGCTTATGAATGGCCTAATCTGTCTCTACTTTGGCAAGTATTCGTGGGTTTACAATATTACTACTAGAGAAAAGATGTCTCTTCCAGTTTCCGTAAATGAAGATTATAGAGCAGTTTACCATCTCGGTTTCGATCCCTCAAACAAAGTCTACAAGTTACTTAAGACAAATGATGACCTCCAGGTCGATCAGAGTGGGTATCTTGTTCGTAAGACTGTGAGAAGTGAGATTCTAACTTTAGGTGTTGATTCGTCGTGGAGAAGCATTGATCCCGCACCTTGGGTGATATTGATTGCGGGTTCCTGCATCGAAGGAGTTCTGTACTGGAATGACACGAAGATAAACCATATCGGCAACCAACTTATCTGTTTTGATCTTGCTCGTGAAGAATTTCGGGTGACTCCTCACCCTCAGATACTTGGGTTAAGTTTGTTCTTGTTCGGACCAAATCTCGCACTGGCAACGCATGACTACCTTCCTGATTCTATTCAGACGACAATGCTGTTTTACAATGATGATAATAATCGTCACATTGGCAATGGTGAAAGTGGAAATATCTCTTCGTCTAGAAGGGCTTGGCAAGAGCATGTAGTCAATCTCCCAAAAGAGGAAGATTCAGAAGAAACGTATGCGTTGTATGATCCAAATGGTGTGTTACAAAAAGCTAAATGGCCATCAATCAAGGGTCTCATGTTGTCTTGTTGAAGGACTCTGGATCAGTGACATTCTCAACATTGTAAAAGTATGGTAGTAAATCTTATCCCAACTGATTCGTTCAATTCTCCGGCGAATTTTGGAATAATATACTGTGAAATTGGCTTGATTCCTTACAAAGTTAGCGGATCTGTTTGGCCGTGCATCCGAAATGCAGCTCGAACTATCTGCATACAGCCATACAGATAAGAACATCAAGTTATAGTCATTCAGTTAATACTTTGTTATTATGCTGTCTCTGGATGAATGAACTAGTAATCGGCCCAATTTGCAAAACACTACTAATTCTGTTATACATAAATTATCTCTCCAAATAAAAGTTTTTAATACATACATATAATATTCATATTCATTTTCAGATTAGATACACCAATTTTTTTCAATTTAAAAAGTGAGGTAAAATTTATAAATTATAAACTATTAGAGGAAGTTAATAATTTTTTCTTTCTACATAATAATTAAAGGGAAATTAAAATTTCGCCTGAATGTTAGCCGGAGAAATGAGTTTCTAGCGAAGTAGACCAATTTTGAATGAAATAAAAAGTTATGACTAGTCTTTTTATGTGAATTATAATAAGAACGAAAATTGAGTCGGAAAGACTAAATGTTCAGGCGCCCAAGTTTTTACATATACAGAATGTTACGGATTAAGGCCAACGCACCCAAGGCCGTGATTGAAAACTATTGAGGCTAGTCAGGCCTTTCCAAGTTCAGACGGTGCAAAGATGAAGATTATCATAGGAAGATATAACGTTGAGTAAATGAGTGTGTTCAAATTGATACTAGAAAATGACCACATCACGTCTACCAATTGACCTAAACAAATCAGACGAACATATTGATGTAATTGTTGTTTACAAATGTCGTCAATTAATTAAAGTGCATTTTTTCCTTGTGCTCATGCAGCCACCATTTCCAGGTACTAATTTGAAAAACTTTGTTTGAAAGATGCAAGGAATTAACGGAAACTTTTAATTTCACTTCGTTTTTTGAGGGTTGAATTTCATTTCAAAAAAACTTGCTTGGGAAATTGGTGTATTTTAGCCTTTAGAAAGATTTTTTTTTTTTTTTTTCTACTAACAGACTACTAATAAACAGAAGCATTCATTATTCAATGCTATAGTTACCTTTTGTACATTAAGAGCATCAAGATAACGTACATTAACTTTTGCTGCGGATCTATAAACCTAACAGCTGCACTTTTAATTAATCTGGGTTTGTTTCAAACAGCTGTGATCGCGAAGCTCAATGAGGTGCATGGAAGCCGTCTTGCCAATGCATTTGCTTTCTAAAATGTTATTGCCACCTATAAACACATTAAAGGAACTTATGGTTCTCTTTAAGTCTAGATAATAGTAGCATGGTAACTTGTAAAATGGATCTTGAGTAGAAGAAAGTATGAACGGTTGGAAATTTTTCCCAAGAGGCAACTAAAGTATTTACACTAACAGATTTACTAGTTACTTTTATCGATCCAGATTAAAATTCTATGTTTGTAAAAACCTAAAAAAAAAAAAAAAAAAAAACCACACACACACACACAAACAAACAAATCTAAGCAAAGGTAGTCAGTAGATCCCCCAAGCTATGAGGAATTCTAACGGGAAGAATGTTGTATGAATCAAACATCCATTACATGATTGTGTTCCGTCCATGTGTTATCATTTTTTTGATTGCATTATATCAATTCTACGACTGAGTGAATTGCATCATAGTAAGTTCGTGACACATTCGGTTTGTTTCAAAATTATTATTGTTAGATCTTCAAAGTAAACAATTGCCCTGCACTTTTTCCTCTAATCAAATTACTACCGTTACAAAAGGAAAAAATCAATGACGCATAATAGTAAGTTTGTGGCACATTAGATGTGATGCCCTCTTGCTTAAGTTTTGTTTCAAGATTATTATATTATTGTTAGATCTTCAAAGCAAAGAATTACTCTGCCCTTTGTCCTCTAATGCCTTATGAAATATCTGTCAAATGGGACCCGAAAAACAAAAAAATTCAATGGCGCCATCCAAAAAAAAAAAAAAGCCATGTTATCTGAATATGGTTTATCAATTTAAATTGGCGTAGAAAAACACTTCAAACTGGAAGTACTTATACAAGTTTAGGGTAAAGTTTCCATTGGAAAACTTGTATTATTACTGAGAATTTATACCAATTACATGAGTATATTTATAATAAAATACAACCGAAATTACAGTGAAAGTAAGATAAGTACAAATCAAAATAATACGTACAATATCAAACTTAATCTATATTTCTTAATTTAACAGGCCCCCGCAGTCGGAGCAGGAGGATCTCGAATGTTCAGACTGGACCAAAAATCTAAAAATAGTGATGAAGGCAACCCTTTAGTGAAGATGTCCGCAAACTGATGAGAGGAGGGGACATGTAAAACACGAACATCACCTAAGGCAACCCGTTCACGGACAAAATTAATATCTATTTCAACATGTTTGGTACGGTGGTGCTGTACAGGATTAGATGCAAGATAAATAGAGCTAATATTATCACAATATACAATGGTATCTTTAGGAAGGGGACAATGTAAATTTAAAAGAAGATTACGAAGCCATGAAGCCTCGGCAACAGCATTCGTAACCCCGCAATACTCTGCCTCGGTATACTAGACCGAGAGACAACGTGTTGCCGTTTAGATGACCAAGAAATGAGGTTATCACCAAGAAAAATACAATACCCAGAAGTGGAACGACGCGTATCTGGACAACCTGCCCAATCGGCATCAGAGTAAGCAATAAGGTGATTTGTAGACGAAGGACGAATGGTAAGACCTTTTGAAAGAGTTCCTTGGAGATAGCGAAGAATTTGCTTGAGAGAATTAAAATGAGATTCTCGGGGATCATGCATGAATAGGAAAATTTGTTGGACAGCATATGCAATATCAGGACGAGTGATTGTTAAATATTGCAGTGCACCAGCAAGACTACGATAAAGAGTAGGACCAGAGATAGGAGAACCAGAAGAGGAGAGTTTAGCCTTAGTGTCAACAGGGCTGGCACATGGATTGCAGGAAGACATGTTTTCTCGAGCAATAATTTCACAAGCAAACTGCTCTTGAGAAAAAAAGAGGCCGGACGAGGACCGAGTAACAGAAATGCCTAAGAAAAAACTAAGTGGACCAAGATTAGTCATTGCAAATTCAGAAGAGAGAAGAGTGGTGACATGTGTAAGAAGAGACTGAGATGAGGTGCTTAAAATAATGTCATCGATATATAGGAGAAGGTATGCTGTGTGGGACTCACGACAGAGGACAAAGAGAGATGTGTCAGCCTTACTACTAACAAAACCCAAAGAAGAGATGTGAGTTGCAAAACGATGATACCAAGCCTGTGGGGCCTGTTTGAGACCATAGAGAGCCTTTTTAAGACGGCATACATGATGGGGAAACAGAAGATTAGTGTAGCCAGGTGGTTGTTTCATGTAAACTACCTCAGAAAGATGACCATGAAGAAATGCATTCTTGACATCCAATTGATGAATTGGCCAAGCACGCGACAATGAAAGGCTAAGAACAGTATGAATAGTGGCTGGTTTTACGACAGGACTAAAAGTCTCATCATAGTCTAGACCGGGTTGTTGAGTAAAAATTTGAGCTACTAGCCGAGCTTTGTATCGCTCAAGAGAGCCATCGGACTGAAACTTGTGTCGGTAGATCCATTTAGATCCAACAAGATTGACATTAGAAGGACATGGAACAAGATCCCATGTACCATTGGCGTGCAAAGCAGCAAGCTCAGCATCCATAGCGGCCTTCCAATGAGGATCACGAAGTGCTGTGAATAGGAGCGGGGAATAGGAGATGGGCTAGTAATAGCAGAGAGATTGAGGAGATGACGTGGGCGGAAAATACCACCTTTAGACCGCGTCATCATGGGGTGAGAGGTGTGTACATGAGAATGGGGTGGGGAAGGTAGTTGAGGGGGTGTAGGTTGACTTGAAGATGGAGAAGAGGACAGCTGTATAGAAGATTGAGAAACACGGGGTGGAATTTCTTGGTGAATAAGAGGAGGAGTATCCTCATCAGAGAAGAGAAAATCATAGTTCTCAAAAGTTGGTGTTTGATGAAAGGAAGAGTACGGGAAGACATTTTCATCAAAAATCACATGTCTAGAGATAATAATTTTGTTAGTAGTGAGATCGAGAAAACGAAATCCACGATGATTAGAAGATGCAAGATGTGGACCTAGGTGCAAGTTTGTGAGAAGTGGTAGCAGAGAGGTTGGGGTAACACAGGCACCCAAAGACTCGAAGATGGGAGTAAGAAGGAGAAATTTTGTAGAGCACTTCAAAAGGGGTACAATAAGAAAGTGTTGTTGTAGGTAAGAGATTGAGAAGGTGAACAGCCACGTGAAGAGCTTCAATCCAAAAAGAAGAGGGTAAGTGGCTTGAAAAAGGAGAGTGCGAACAATGTTGTTGATAGTTCGAATGGTGCGTTCGGCTTTACCATTTTGTTGAGAAGTATAAGGGCAGGAAAAACAGAATTCAATTCCATTAGAATGGAAAAATTGATGAAAGAATTCGTTGTCGAATTCACGGCCATGATCACATTGAAAAGTTTTGATGGTAGAATTAAATAGATTTTGGACATAAGCTTTAAATGTAAGAAACACATTAAAAACTTCAGATTTAGTGCGAAGAGGAAAAACCCAAAGAAAATGAGAAAAATCATCCAAGAAAAGTACATAATAGCGAAAACCATTCATAGTGCTGACCGGAGATGTCCACAAATCAGAATGAATAAGTTCAAAAAGACATGATGCTTTTGATCCAGAAGGAGAAAATGACAAGCGAGTGAGTTTGCCTAGTTGACAGGCATGACACAGAGTTATTTTTACTTAGACAATCTATGAACTTTCGAGAAGATAAAAAATCAAAAACAGAACGTCCAGGATGGCCAAGATGCCGATGCCAAGTTTGTGGAGAAAGTGCTGCAAGAGACATTGATGAGGAATGCAGACTGACATTGGAAGGAGTAACGGGATAGAGGTCTCCGTCACTGTCACTACGATGAATTAAAGCAGCAGTCCTAATGTCCTTCACAGAGAAACCGAAGGGTCAAATTCAACAGTGCAGAAATTATCTCTAGTAAACTTATGCACAGAAATTAAATTTTTAACTAAGTGAAGAGATACTAAAATATCACGAAGAGAAAGAGGAATTTTAGAGTAAGGGAAAAAAGAATTTCCGAAAAAATGGACAGGAAATACATCACTGTTACCAACCATAATTGATTTAGATGTATCACAAGGTTTCAAAGAAATCATGTTACCGTTAGGTGATGACATAGTGGCAGTTGCACCAAAGTCCAAGTACCAATCATCATCACGAGGTTGTGGCACTGACATGGTTGCAAAAAAGCTCGCTAAATCAGTGGGCTGGTTCCTAACAGATGGATAAGAAGCGCCTGCAAAATGGGACAAGAGCCCATGCTGTGGATGACCAATGAGGAGCTGAACCAAAAAAGGAGTCAATGGAGGCTGAGCATGAACTGGAGGAGTAGAGGTCCATGGAACCGAAGAACTAGGCGAGTAAGGAGCAGGACCGAGGAGGCTCGGGCTACTGAGTTGCTGCTGAATATGGGGTTGTGTGGGAGGACTCCATGGGGACTGCTGCACAAAATAATTCTGATGAGGGCGCCAGTAACTTCCTTGTGTAGGTGGCTACGATCCAAAACTGGGAGAGAAAAAAGAATGCTGCAAAAAATTGTTAGGCCGAAAATTACAACCCCAAATTGCTACCAGAATGAGCATTGGGTTGAGTACCATGACCTATGTTTTTATTTTTATTCTTCCCCCGACCTTTGCCGTTATCATTATGGGAAGTAGAGTGATGAGAATAAAGAGGAACTTGAGAATCAATAAGAGCAGAAGTAGGGGTGGTTTTGATTTCACGGGATTCATGCAAAAGAAGCATGTTTCGAGCCTGAGCAAAGGAAGGAAATGGAGTTTTATTGGTAATAACATCAATGATGCTATTGTAAGAGTCAGGGAGATTATTAAGAATTTGAAGAACAAGTTCTTGATCAGAGATGGGTGAATCAACATCTTTAAGATTATCAGCAAAATGTTTCATATTACGGCAAAAATAAAAAATACTCAAATCACCTTTAGAGTAGTTTCAAAAACTATCCTGCAATTGAAGAGATCGGGACAATTTGTTTTTATGAAAAAAGGCTTCCAGGTTATCCCAGATTTGTTTTGCAGTAAAGTTATCCCCACTAACACTATCTAAGAGGCTAGCATCAATAGAATTATAAATCCAAGTTTTGATTTTAGAATCAAGAGAATACCAATCTTCATCAGTATCATCTTTGGGAGTTGATTTGCCAATAATATGATCAAAGGCACGATAACTACGACATACATCCGAGAAGATAGTGCGCCATAGTTTATACTTTGGATCTTCTTCACAAAGTTTAAAATTAAATAAGTGATAGAAAGTGTTTACAGCATAAGCAGGGTAATGAACGAAAGAAGTAGCAGAGTTGGAGGAAGGTTTGGGGTCACCCATAATGATTAAAAAAATAATAATAATAAAATAAAAAAACAAGAAACAAACAAAACGGCTGAATGGACTTACAAAACAAAGCACATGGAGGCGTGATCAATCAGCAAAGAAAAGAGGCAAGAAAGAAAAAAATATCATGCGAGCAGAATTTTGAGGGGAGGTGGTGGAGGTTTAAAGATGCGGAAGAGTGATAGAATCAACACTAGCTGATACCATGATACAAGTTTAGGGTAAAGTTCCTATTGGAAAACTTGTGTTATTACTGAAAATTTATACCAATTACATGAATATGTTTACAATAAAATACAACCGAAATTACACGAAAAGTAAGATAATGCAAATCAAAATAATAAATATAATATCAAACCTAATCTATATTTCTTAATTTAACAGTACTAGTCCCTTTTGGAAGTTGAAATAGAGTGATTAAATAACGTGTATTAGTCAAACTCTTCTTCCCAAGTAAATATGGTAATTCAATTCATGTCTCAACTCGTCCCTTCAAATCTGTGTCAAATTTAAACAAAATACTCCGCCCTGTTTTCATTTAGTACTCGTCTTTTTCCGTCGGAATTTGTTTAGAAAGCGTTGGAATCATATACATCCTTAATTTCCCTTCGAATTTCAAAACTTTTGATTGGCCTATTTAATTTTATAAATAGGTTGATATCATTTTATAACTTTCATAAATCCTACAGCATTTAGAAATTCTTTTATCTTCTTCTCCTGAGATACCATCTTTAGGATTCATGTGATCCATGCAAAATTAAAAACATTTGAGTGTGGATAGAAAGCCCTCACTTGCAAGCTTTAGATTTTTATTTTTTTTTTTAAAAGAAATGGCGAAATCCAGGGTTGAGGGTTTTTCATCGATTGATGAGGATTTAATTTGGGAAATCTTGATATTTCTCCCTGTCAAATCTCTGATGAGATTTAAATGTGTATGCAAGCTTTGGCTATCTATGATCCAGAATCCATTTTTTGTCAGGGCTTATAGGGGCGGTTTTAAAGGTCTCCTCCTTTCCAACCTTAGCCATATTTTATCTTCCTCAAACGACACTAGTATTGAGTTCTTTTACTTGAACTATTTGGAGGGTGATGTGCCAACAAACATTATACATCACTATAGTATACCTACTGAAGGGAAAATTAAGCCCACCAAGCTTGTGAATGGCCTAATCTGTCTCTACTCTGGCGAAAATTCCTGGATGTACAATGTTGCTACTAGAGAAAAGATGTCTCTGCCGGATTCAGGGTATGATTACGAAGAAGTTTACCATCTCGGTTTCGATCCCTCCAACCGCGTCTACAAGTTACTTAAGACAGGGTTTTGCAGGATTTTAACCATAGGTGTAGATTCGTCCTGGAGAAGCATCATCGATCTGGCACCTATGGTGGTATACAGTACTGGTTCGTGCATCGGAGGAGTTTTATAGTGGGATGAACCGGAGGGACACAGTATCAGCAACCAACTTCTCTGTTTTGATCTCGCTCGAGAGAGATTCTGGCTCCTTCCTCGCCCTCAGGCAAGCGATTTACGTTTGTTGTTGTTTGGACCAAATGTGGAACTAGCAAAATGGGAATGCCTTCCTGATTCTGGTCAGGTGAGAATGCAGTTTTTCAATCATCATATTGGCAATGGTAAACCAGCCGGAAAGGTCTCTTTATCAGGAGGGACTTGGCGAGAGCATGAAGTTAATCCCCCTATAGAGGAAGGTCCAAGAGAAATGGCTGAATTCTTTAATCTTAATCCTCTGGGTATACTTCCCGATGGAAAAGTAACCTTTCTTGATGATATTGCCCACTTTTGGCAGTTTCCGGTGCCATTCTATTTATACGATAAAACCAAGAGGGAGCTCCAGAAGCGGTTTATATCGGACTGTCCTTCATCCCCCATCGCGCAAAAACGCATTGTTGAAGTTACAGAGGATGTCGTTCTCTGGTATTATGAGGAGAATATCTTACCATTAAGCTGTCTAGGTCCTTGCTGAATCAAAATGTTTAGGCATAAACAAAGAGTCATTTGGTTAGGTCTACCACCAATCTTTGTTTTCATTGTGATTTGCTTCTTGATTACCATCACTCCAACTTATCTTGGTTACCAATCTTTTTCATGGTTATTATTATTGGATGTTCGAAGACAAAATTACTGTTTTTATTGCTCCTTCCAATTGCAATGAAGAAAAATAAAAATAAAAAAGCACTAAAAGTTATGGCTAACTGATGTAGTATTTTCGGATAAAATCATGAACTGCAGTTTTGTGTTCTCCATTGCAATGATAACCTGAGATAAAACTCTAAGTGGTTACAGAAAACGGGAGAAAGTTATTCATGCATACAGATAAAATTTTAATGCTTGTGGATTACAGAGGCATAATTCTTAAGAGGAACATGGACTAATGTCTCTTTGGGATCCAGAGGGAAGAAGAATGGATAAAGCTCATAACGAACTATGCAGCTGCTATACAAAACTCTGCATCCCTTCTTGTTGTTGCAGGTGTTTGGGAACTGCCCGATTGCTTGAGCCAGGCATTGAGCACAATAAAGCTGTGACAAATCCCTTGTGCATTGAACCAGCGCATATATCTTTTCGAAATCCGACAAATCAGTTTTTCCCCTGCCAATGAATCCTCTGTTTCCGGACGTACTAACAGCTTCTTTGCTAATCTTGTCGCTCAGGCTCCCGAGTTTCTTGTTGAAACTGTCGGGATCGGTCACATTCTCAACATTGTAAAAGATTATACCTACGGACGTGTCCACCCGGCCGGCGAATTCATCCGGGCTGTACCTCAGAAAACAGTAATCGTACCATACTCTAGCGTCAGCTTGCTTCGGGCAGAGCTCGCGAATCTGTTTCGCCGCGTCCTGAATGCAGCTCGCGCAATCGCTTTCGCTCACGTCTCCTCTGCATTGAGCTAAGCCATACACTTGGTTTGGTGATTTACCATAGGAAGTTGTGATGTAGCCATTTGAGATGGTTCCTGATACAAGTTGAGGTAACAATGCGTCGATGTTTGCGGATAGCTGAGTGGTGTTTATGAGGGAGTTTTCATTGCAATACTGAGTCCACAGCTCCGCAGATTCAGCTGTGATTGTGAAGCTGGAAATGGAGAGCAAGAGAAGAAGGTATTGAAAGAAAGCCATTATGCAATGAAAGTGGATCTTCTTTTCTTCTTTGTTTTCTTTTTTTTTTTTTGCACTGAGAGTGGATATTGAGCTGATGGCTCTTATTCCTTAAGAAGAAATGATTGAAATAGATGGTAGCAGAAATTGTTGACTTGTGAGCATTATGATTTACCTGGTCAATGTTGACCAATCAAACCCTTCTAGTATGATGCATTTCAATTTCAGAGTACTGTATATAACAGACATTGGCACTTTTTGTCTTTAGAAGTTGAGAGACTACAAAATATAGCGATTGATAATAACGCAAACACCACACATTTGCTTTCTAGAACGTTACTCCATCCCCGTCCCCCTAGACAAAATAATACTAATAATCTACCTTATTGAACTATTATTTTCCCGAAAGAAGTTGAACTATTTTTCTAAATGGAAAGCGTACAATATAATGTTAGTCAACCGAATTAATCTTCTAAAATTATACGGGATTTTATCGATCCCAAAACCAATAAATCATGCAAGATATTACCCGTTAATCAAGGCAGTATTCTTAACACATTCTACACAACAGTGCTCATGTAACCTATTTTGATCTCAAAGTACACGTCATTTGTTGTGAATGATACCTATTCGCAGGTAATACCTAATTCATTATTTTTTTTTTAAAGGAAAAATTTTCATTCATTCACTTTTGCTGAAAATCGTCCAGCTGCATTTGACAAAAAGTCACAGAGATATGCGACCAAACAGAACATTCGATATCACTATTCTTGGCCACAAATGTAAAATTATGAGCTATCTTATTTTCTGGTCGTCTAATCTAAAAAATCCCTAAGGGATGGGTTAAATGGATCAAAATATGATTGTCTTTCATCACCGGATCCAGTTGGTTGAGATCTTAGACGTCCTCTAACGCTGCCAAGACTGTGTTGATTGAGTCGCCCATGATCGAGAAACTCACGAGCTTGTATTCTTTTGTAAAGGATAGGGCTTCTCTGAGTGCCAACGATTCAGTAATGCCCGAGTCTTGCATGCTTAGGAATTTCCTTATTACTCCTCCAACAAAATTTCCTGCAGCATCAGCAAAAAAAAATATATACAGTAGATGCTGAATTTTGTTGATTTTAACATAAATTTTAAAATTCAACGTGCACTATTTTATGATAGAGTTGTATTTTTCTTTGGTGAAAGCAGAACCTTCTATTGAAGAAGGACAAGGCAGCTGGATTTGATCCCATTTTATTGCTCCTTGTCCAATCTAGTCTTTTAATGAATGGACAATTATGTATCGACCGAGCCTAATCGTTGACATATGTAACTGATGGATCTTAGAATTTTCAAGGGCACAGACACAACATATATTATGGTAGTACATTTTCGTTTTCTATTTAATGCTGCTGCTAAGAACGCCTAACCAATGTGGGAGTTCAACTAATGAAATATTGGAATCTGAGTTGGAAGAATATGATATCAATCCACAGATTCCACAAAAAAACAAAAACAAAAAAAAAAATAAAAATAAATTCATGTGCACGATTGCACGTACGTACGCCACTGATCACTATCTTGCAATTTTTAATCGACTCCAGTGGAATTCAACTGTTGAAAAATCACTTACAACCATTTAAGGTGGGATGGGGATTGGGAGGATAGTTTCCAGCATCATTATATCTGATCCCTTCAACATACATATTAAATCATTACTACATATTCATATGAAAATTGAAAGAAACTCTTCTAATATTACGTTAAATTAAGGTTTTACCGTTTAAAGAAAATGTAAATTATCGTTTCTACATTCAATATCTGAATTCCAATATCAAGTATGGACTTGGATTCAAATTATACATAAAACTTAAAATTTCTCGTTTTCAAAATTCAAAATTTTTCTGTTTATCTTGAAATTATTCTCGTATACACAGTACAATAGATAAAAGAATGACAATAATTTTATAACAGAGATAATATAAATTTTAGACAAAATTTTTGCTGTTTGCATGCTAAATTCGGATATTTGTAGGCATGCAATATTTGTAAAGTAATATTTAATTTTGGGCAAATCTTAAATTCGATCTGCATAGAAAAACGACCAGGCCAATTACCTGCCAAATGGGAAATTCTTATAAATAGGATTAATTGCTTTTGTGTTGAAGATCATTCAGTTTGATAAAGTCTTATAAGTTGTAGTTGTTCGTTGATGAGAAGCATGGATTGATTATGAAATCGACGACTGAAACTGTTTGAGCAAAAATTATATTCGGATTGTGGAAAGAAGACAGAAAATAACCCGAGTATAAAAATAAATCAGAGTGACTGGGGATGTGTTCAAAAATCGGTCTCGGACCTGGAATCGAGGACTTAGGGTTAACTTCAAGAGTGGTAGCCGTCAATCCATTAGAATGGGGAGAAAAAAAAATAGATAGCGCCGACTAGTTAGAGAGAACGTCGATAGAGCGCTATTACAATGAGGAATCGAATTCACTGAAGTAAAAAATAATGAACGACTACATATTTTTATAAGAAAAACAGGCCAAAAACTATCTAGGTTAGGCTAATCTATGAAAACATGATAAAAGTACATGAACGAAAAAGACAAAAAAGAAAGAAAAAATGAGAATGATATCGATTGATGATGAATTGAGGTGTGTAAGGTGTCTTCCACTCGGCCACATTTAAATAGGAGAAGTTGGAGTTGGCCGCAGTTTGGAGGAGTAATTTGTGTCCAAATCAATTTCCTACTTCGGAGAAAAAATAGTACCCTTGTATGATCAAAACCTTGCTTGCCGAATCCCACTTTGAGAAGAAAATTAATAAAGTCATGCATTGAGTACCAATTAATCTCCAAATGCCTTGCTATTGTGAAACTCTATGTGCATACCTCTTCTTGATAAAGAATAACACTAAAAGATTAATTCTTTTGCATAAATCTGGCCACCACATGAAGTTTCAAAGTTTGAATCGAACTCCAGTACCAAAAATATGTATTTTTTAGGGTCAAACAGAAACCGAGTTAGACAACGTTTTAGCCAAACCGACACCGACTTACGTAGGAAAAAATATTGGTAAAATGATTATTTAGTTTGAATTTTTATTTAAATATGATTATATTATACCAAAAGTTAAAAGTGAAAATTTAAGTCGGCGATTATTTTAAGAGGAGGAAAATGAAATTTACTCTATTCATTTTCAAAATCGAAAAGTTAATTGAGTCTCTGATTGGAAAAAAATTTATAGTTGATTCGAGCTGCATCGTACTCGTAGGCGAGCCAAGATATATATAATAATGGAGGAGTTCAAATCACAAATGAGGAATTGACAAAGTTAATTGGTGATGAAACTAATAAATTGATCAATCATGCGAACAAACAATAAGAAGTTTTGATTTCTGAGTAAGCACAGAGTTAACCTTTTGCTTTAACAAAACAATAAGAGCAAAATTAAAAGTGTTGCGAATGAGGTGTTAGTTCAGTGGTAATACCATCCTTGTTTTTAAGAGGAGGTCATGAGTTCAAACCGCCATTTTAACAAGAGTGAGAGAATGGATTTAACCTTTTTAATTGGCACCTCTAGAGAGTTTGTTATGACAAACTTACTCGTGAAACCCCGATTTCGCACCCGAGCCTGTCACCCTGGGCTTTCCTAGGGTAGTTTACCTCCCACTATGATTTGCAGCCTATTACAGTAGGCGTGGGTTTATCCATCTCTGATGGGGTTCCCGACGTCACCTAAAAAAAAATTAAAGATATTTAATTTTCACAATGCGGGCAGTACTAGATAATAAAAACTTCTAATGAGATCTAGTACTGTAGAGGTCCGTAGGACTAGACATATTTTGAGATATATCATTCTGACCATCCAAATCTTATTTAGACGGAACTATATAATGGGAAGAGAGACTCTAAAGTAAATGTAACATTCATTTCATTTCCAAAAACATCTCAACTGACTTATAAACACTCCAGTTTTAGTCATTATGTATAAAATTTTAATTATTATAATTCAGACAAATAAAATACCTTTTACCACTAAGAGCATGTCCAATAGTGTGAGTTAAAATAAAATAGGGTCCACCCTCCACATAAGCAAATCACAACCCTACTTTTTTACTCTATTCTCACCTGTATTGAATTTACCAAAATCAGCAAGTAAGGTGGCCGCTAAGAGCAAGTCCAATGGTGCGGGTTGAATAAAGTAGGGTCTACCATGAGTGGAGGTCTCCTATGATACAAATTTTGTGCCACTTTCTATAACACTTATTTTAATGTCGACACGTGTCCTTTATTTATTTTCAGTCAATTAATCTTCAAATATAGAAAACGGACTGTTTGGAACCATTAAAACGAAAGAAGAATTGTTAAAGCCCGTATTGGTCAAAATCAAAACCAAAGAAGAAAAAAACCAACCTTGCTCTCTGATCTAGTTTTCTCAAATCCTTCACCGGAAACAACTTGCAACAAGAAGCAACAAATGGCCAAAATCTAAATAGCTCAATGATAATGATTTTTGAGAGATTGGGGATTCATGGAGTTATTCCTTATTGGATTTCACAACCAGCAACAGTAGTGATTAAGATGACCAGAGGTCCTAACGAAAAAAAAATTTGGCATGGAATTCGTAAAACTAGGCATAGAATTTGTGAAACTTACCGTTATACTGTGGTTGTTGCTCCCTTTTTCTAGATATTGAAAAATCCAAGGAAACATAATAAGGAGTTCAATTCGTGCCCCATCAGTGGAGAATGGAGATATTGTTATTCTGGGTTATTTTGGGTTGTCGGTACCATCACTCTTGCTGCCGCCGACAACACCGTTCGTTGCTCTGTTTAGCCCTGAACTAGTAAAAACTCGAAACAAACTCAATCTCTCAAAATTCCTCAAAAAATCATTCCGAAATTCTAACTTTTACATAAATTGTCATAGCACATAAAGAATAGACCTAGCCTCTTGCAACTTAGTGCTGATAATTTGAAAGATGAGACTGACATGAACTTCTTTTGGTTTTTCTTTTTTTGTTTAGTTTATTTTCTGCCCAAGCAGTCGCTTAACATTGTTCGGGCATTAAATAATTGAAAGTAAATAAAAGACACGTGTCGACATTAAGATGAGTGTCACAAGAGACATCCACCCGCCACCCTTCAAATAAGCAAATCATAACCTTTTTTACTCCACACTCACTTCTAATGAATTTACTAAGATCAGTAAGTAAAGTGGGTCACTTATAACACATTTCTCTCCCGCATTCCTGCATTCATTTTATCCTATCTCCAACAACAAGTTCGGTCCCACATTTTACAGTAAAATCATGTAAGTAATGAATTGACACAGAGCAACTACTCAACTCTCTCTAACGGGAGATAGTTGAGTTAGGTTGTAAGTGCCACACATTTCGATGTCACTTACAACCATTGGACATGCTCTTATAGCACCTTTTGTCCCTTGCATTCATGCATTCATTTTATCCCAATTTTAAAAATAAGTTCGACCCCATTTTTTGCAATAAAATCTGGTAAGGAATAGATTGTCGCAGAGCCACTACTAAACTCTCTCCAATGAGTCCCCATATTTTGCAATAAAATCTGGTAAGGAATAGATTGTCGCAGAGCCACTACTCAACTCTCTCCAATGAGTGAAAGTTAAGTTGGGTTGTAAGTGGTACACGTTTTGAGGTCACTTACAACCATTGGACATTTTCTAAGTTGATCTTTGAAACTTCTCTTAAGGCTCGGACGGGTCTTACCTTTCTCCCTGATGGTGAATAATACATCTCATCAGACAAGATGGAGCCATGTTAGTGATTCGGAATTATTTGAGTCTTTTGGTTTTTTTTTTTTTTTTTTTTTTGGAATAAACATGGTGAGCAGATAGTTCTTAAAGTGTGCTAGTTCAACTGCTCAAAGCCTTACACCAAGTGAATGTAGAGTGAAAGAAACTCATCTATCATTACCAGACGTCATTTGTCGTTGGGAATCCCGTTTTAAATTTGGATTAGTCTGAAAATTGCTTTGCCATTCATTTCACTCATCATTCATCAATACGAAGCTCATAAATGATTAGGTTAATGTTGGCGAAATGACAATAAGAACATCGATAATCGATATTATAAGGGGAGAAAAGAAAAGGAAAAAAAAAAAAAGAAAGAAAAAGATAGATTGCTATACAACATAGGCCTCCATCGTATTTGGGTCATTGCATGAAATTCAGATTTGTCGTTTACAAAAAATGATTATCACACTGAATGGGCCTAAAGGCCTTACCGAATTCTGAAAATATAGCCCAAAGCTAATTATGGTTGATACTGTTGGGCTTGTTGAAGAAAAAGCTAATGCCTTATCCATTGAATTTACATATCTTTTTCGTGAATTATGAACTGAGATTTTCATCAAATTTTTGTCATTTTTACGTATTTTGTGACTAAAAGAAAATTTTTTAATTCCTCATTCAGGAGATACTCATACGAGAAACTAAACAAATTGATTATATTATAAGCTTTATTATTTCCAGCAAGGTGTAAATTAAGGTATTTATTAAGTATGATACACAGGTTCACTGACCAGCAATTATCCAAACGACTAGGCCTTTATAGACATCTTAAAGTGATAGTTTTTTTTCCCCCTCTTCTTAAGATTTGCAGCCAATTATCTAATTCATGCCTAACTAATTCAAGATATGTAATCATTTCGGTCTTATTTATAAAGCAGAAATTAAAACAGCGTGGGTTAGAGTATTTTTGCCAACATCAATGTAATGATACTTTTAGTAAAATAATATAGTCAAAAAACATAGTGATTGATGTGTATTCCCTATTTTGTTGCTACTTTACCGTTGAAATTTTATTTTTCCCTCTAAAATTACCTTTTGACCCTTAATTACTATAGACACATCGATCATTATATATTTTCATTATTTTTTCTTACTATCTGTATCATTGCTCATAAAGAGAACCGATCAAGCTGCTAAGGTTAACAAAAAAAACTTTACCATTTCACTTCCAACAAGAATTGCTTCTCCAAAATGATCTATATTTTTCCGTGTCTTAGGGAAAAAGTAAATGGAAGAAAAGAAAAAACCATTTCGAGAATGATGTGGTCAAAACATGAGAAACCCGCGCAAAGATTAAAAAAAAAAAAAAAAAATTTACTTTAGAAAAAGGCAAAAAAGCAAACCATCCAATCCGTAATTGTCGCAGGAAATAGTAACTAGATTCATGTGCAATTTTGTTGGTCGTCAAACATGCTTCAAAAGTTGCTATTCCAAAATTACTAAATTAATCCATTTAATAATAGCAACACCACCCCCACATGATTTCATTTGGATATGGTGGCTTTTCCAAAAGTTGCTATTCTATACTTTTTATTCCGTTACAGAGCTTTCCCGGTCTAAAATAAGTTTATTGTATTAATTTAAAGTAGTACTTCCTCCGTCCCAGAAAAATAGTCCAATTTGAAAATGTATAATTTTTTTAATTTGGTCAACACAACAAATGTACAATTCATTTTATGTCCCTAATTTCCACTAATACAACTTCTAGTTATTTCTGTAAAAGTTAACTACATATGTATTTATTTTACAACTTAAATTTGATCAAAATTTTTATCTCAAAAAATATTGACAATGGATCTTGATGAAAAGATCCCGTTACGTAGATTAATTTGATATATATATATATAACACATTTTTTAATTATTCATGTATTAAAAGATATAATCATTTGAAAAAATAGGAGAAAATTAAAAAAAATAAAAAATCGAAGGAAGGGGACCTTGTTTTCCTTACCACTACTCTTTTAGATATTTAAGTCATTTCAATTCAATTAATTTTAACTTTTGTGAAACTGGACTATTTTTTTGAGACAAGCTTTTTTATTAAACTGGACTATTTTTATGGGACGGAGGAAGTATAATAAAATATTTCAAAAAAAAATGGATACAAAATCAAAATAATGTGCCGACAACGTGATACTTTTACGTAACAGGATTTGATACGTTTTGTAGGGTAGTTTTGGAGTATTTTGTGTTGATTCGGCTCTAAAAGTAATAATAAACAAACTTGACGGTTAGAAAGAAAGAAATGGTGACAGTTGCCCGGTTTTTCTTGGTGCCTCGAGTCCTCTACCTCGACCATTTTTCCCTCATGCGCTAGTGTGATGATTTTACTCTCACAATGTAGATGGCTAGAAATTAAACATTTAAAAAATTGTCATGAATATTTTTATTCCTTTCCACAGGGTAATTCATTTTTCTGTTTTTGGGGGAAAAAAGAAGAAAATAAATAAGATCAGGAGCCAATAAGAGAGATACATATACATATATATATATATATATATATATATATATATATATATGCATGATTGCGAGTCGGCCTCGCTCTATATCAACTATGCTAGATATTATATCTTGAGCTCCAAAAATATGTGGTTATGTAAAAGTTAGGTTATTAATGTAAAACATGTGTTTTGAGAGACATACTGTACAATTGATAGTCTGTGAACCGATAGTTAAAATATAATGTTTTTTGCTTTCAGAATTTCTCATGCTCGGAGTGTCTTTGACCTCTTGATTTGAAGGTTTAGAGTTAATATTAGCACTTTGAAAACTACGAATCCTCCTTTATGAATGAGAGAAGAAACAAAAAGGCACTTTCCCTAGAAAAACATGGGTAACATTCTTACTCCTGAAATTACAGTGAAAACACTGAAAATATGATAATTTGGCTCCTTAATAACCGCCGATTAAACAGGTTCTTGGTAATCATTTTTCATCACTTGGGACCAACCAAAAAAATAAATAAAAATTAAAAAACGAAAATGAATGAGCAGCAACCATCATATCATGCTTTGCCCATGGACTTATTAAATGGAGTATTTCCTAGCGGGAAAAAAAAAAAAAAAAGAGCCCAAGAATTTTGCTACTTGCATTGATTGAGAAACTCCACAGCCAAAAAAGAAAGTAAAAGGAAGAAACAACATCATCATTAAGGCGCCAAGCCCCAGTCAAAAAACTACCTATTCTTTTGTAATACACCCTCCGTCCCACAAAAATAGTTCACATTGAGTTTTGAGTTTTATACAAATTTAAAAAATCAATGTGGATTGTTTTTTTAGGGCATAGGTAGTATTATGTGATTTATGTGATCTGAGCTACATTATTTAGATTTAATTAATTGTAGTAGTTTGCAAGGAGGAAATAGCGTGGGAAATGAATTTTAACACTAAGGGTGTTAATCTTAAAAAAAAAAGAAGAAGAAGAGATTAATCCTTTTACATGAGATGATTAATATAATTTCTCTGTTTCAAGAAAACAAAAGGGCAGCTCGAATGTTTTTTAGTTTTGACTCGAGGGAGAGCCATATGAGGTGGTAAAAGAAGATTATTATTACCATGTAGACGTTGTAATTCAAAACTTTGCGGTGACAAATCATTATATATATATATATATATATATATATATTTAAAAAAATACTGCTTTGTTATGAATGTAAATCACTATTGGAACAGTCAAATGTTGTTACTTACTCCGTCCTGGAAAACTTATTTAATTCGAATTTTTTTTTTAGTGTAAATTAAATTTTTAGGACATAGGAGGTATAATTTGCGAAGGTTAAGAATCACTAATTTGTTCTTTCAATGTACACTAACAAAATTAAATACAGTATATCAAAACAAAGTATCTAAACAAAACAATCTTCTGTAATAGTAATGACAGTTAAAAACACTGTCCTTGATTCCGATTTTCCATTCATAATTTAATATACGTTTTTTAAAACAATATATTCACTCTGTCCCAAAATTATTGTGCAATTTGCGATTTCACTTTTAGTACAATTTGAACTAAAAATGAAAACTAAAACTGGACAATAATTATGGGACCGAGAGAGTATAAGAAGATTAATTTTATTAATGGGACCGAGAGAGTATAAGAAGATTAATTTTATTAACTCGTCCTATTTCTAGAAATATCAAATTTATGAAGTAAACTTTTTTTAATGTTCAAACTTAAAAGGTGAAGTACTATTATTATGATTGGTAAAATTTTATTACATCCGACCGTTTACAATTTCTTATATTTTCTAAAAGTTAACAAAAAAAGAAAAAAAAAATAGTAGAAATGATGAGGAATTAGTCGAAATGGGGGGAAGCGAGAGAGAGAGAGAGAGAAACAGGAAGCCAAGAAAAAGGGGCACATCAACAGACAAAGCAACCAAAAACAGAGAGGGAGAGAAAAAGGGCAAAAGAAGCTACACAGATTACTCTCTTTTCTCTCTAGGGTTTGATTTCCCCCATCGTCGAGGGATCAAAACCCTGGAGCTTCAGCTTACCCTTTAATCAACGACCATCCCTCTCCCTCTCTTCCCTAATTCCCCACATTTTCTCATCTGGGCTTTCTTCATTTCCCCGGAATTCTTTCAGAAATTGAATTTTTCTTTTTTGATTAATTTTTTTTTCTTTTTACCAATTTTGTGGGTTTTCTTTTGTTTCACACATTCACGAAAGAAAATGTCGTTGTTGTCATGTTTGAAGGAGTATGGGATTGTGTGAGAATTTTGTAAACTTAATTGTGTATTTGTGATGCTCTCTCATGGCTATGGCTGATCAGAGGAAGAAGGTCCACATTATTCTGGCCGTAATTCTTGTGAGCATTGCAAATGTGGTTTTAGGAACTACAGATCCTGGTGATTTTAAAGTTTTGAATGATTTCAAAAACGGACTTGACAATCCTCAGCTTCTGGGATGGCCTTCCAAAGGGAATAATGATCCCTGTGGACCTCCTAGTTGGAAACATGTGGTTTGTCGTGGGGGAAGAATCACACAAATTCAGGTCCAGAATATGGGTTTGAGTGGGATTTTGCCTCCGAGCTTGAACCAGTTGGTCATGCTTGAGAATGTTGGTTTGCAGAAGAACAAATTCAGGGGAGCTTTGCCAAGTTTCTGTGGGTTGTCTGGGTTGCAAGAGGCTTACTTGGATAACAATGATTTTGATTCCATCCCTTCAGATTTCTTCAATGGCCTTACTAGTGTTAGGACGTTGGCCTTGGATCAGAATCCATTCAATTCTAGTACTGGTTGGAGCATCCCTCCTGAACTGCAGAACTCCACTCAGCTGGCTAACTTTTCTTGCTCAAGTTGCAATTTAGTTGGAGAGTTGCCTGATTTTTTGGGTAATTTGGTGTCTTTGACTAGCTTGAAATTATCTTACAACAACTTGTCTGGAGAACTTCCTCCTAGTTTTGCTGGTTCAAACATGCAGGTTCTTTGGTTGAACAACCAGTATGGTGGTGGATTGACTGGCCCAATTGACGTGATTGGAAACATGACTTCTCTGTTGCAGGTATGGCTGCATGGTAACCAGTTTACCGGCGCAATTCCGGATAATATTGGGGATTTAGCTTCATTGAGACAGCTCAACTTGAATGGAAATCGCCTTGTTGGTTTGATTCCTCAGAGCTTGGCCAACATGAGTTTGGATTTGTTAAATCTGAATAATAACATGCTTATGGGTCCTATCCCAAAGTTTCAAGCTGAGAATGCGTCTTACAGCTCAAATTCATTTTGTCAATCAGATCCTGGTGAGCTTTGTGCTCCTGAAGTTAATGCCCTTTTGGATTTCCTTCATGATGTGAATTATCCAACTGCTCTTGCTTCTCAGTGGACTGGTAATGATCCTTGCAAAGGACCGTGGTTGGGAATCTCTTGCAATCCGAGAGGTCAGGTTTCTGTTATTAATTTGCAGAAGCTGAATCTTAATGGTACTCTTAGTCCTTCACTTGCCAAATTAGGTTCATTGCTTGAGATTCATTTAGCAGGAAATAATTTGCATGGTCTAGTTCCTCCAGATTTGACACAGTTGAAGACTTTGAGGTTGTTGGATATTAAAGGGAACAATTTTGATGCACCCCTGCCAAATTTTGGTGATGGGGTGAAGGTGATTAGTGATGGAAATCCTGGATTGGAACCTGGTGGTAAACCAAAACCTTCCCCACCAGTAGTGACTAGTCCATCACTTCCTTCTTCACCTCCTTCATCACCAAACAGTCCGAAACCACCATCAGGCACTGATGATAAGCCACCACCATCAGATAATGAGCCACCATCATCGGATAATAAACCTTCTCATGCCAGTGATTCAACTCCTAAGTCACCTAGTCTTATCACAGGGCATCATCCTGATGGATGGAGTTTAAGTGTAGTGGTGGAAGTTACTGCAGGTTGTATTCTTCTGTTTGTTGTATCAGTTGTTCTGGTTCTCTGTTACCTCAAAAAGAAGAAGAATGCCAAAAAGCTTCCTACTAGCATAGTTGTTCAGCCAAAGGATCCTTCTCAATCAGATGACATGGTCAAGATCGTTATTGCGGATCCTATTGCTCAACAAAACACTGTAAGCAGTGCTGATAGTAAGTTTAGTTCTGGAGGGCAAAGTGCTCATGTTATTGAGGATGGACAGATTCGAATCTCAGTGCAGATCCTACGTAAAGTGACCAAGGATTTTTCTGAAGAGATAGGTCGGGGAGGTTTTGGAGCTGTTTACAAAGGGGAGCTGGACGACGGGTTACCAATAGCAGTGAAGAGAATGGAGTCTGGAGTGATAAGTAATAAGGCATTGGATGAATTCCAGGCAGAGATTGAAGTCCTATCTAAGGTCCGGCATCGCAATTTGGTCTCCCTTCTTGGATTCTCTGTTGAAGGAAATGAGAGGCTTTTAGTTTATGAGTACATGCCTCAAGGAGCTCTAAGCAGACATCTATTCCGCTGGAAGCAACTTGACCTACAGCCATTATCCTGGGCAAGAAGGCTGTCGATTGCTCTTGATGTTGCTAGAGGAGTGGATTATCTCCATAATTTGGCTCATAGAAGTTTCATTCATCGTGATCTCAAGTCTGCAAATATTCTCTTGGATGATAATTACAGGGCTAAGGTGGCCGATTTTGGATTGGTGAAGCTTGCTCCTGACAAAGAGAGGTCTGTTGCAACTAAGCTTGCGGGAACATTTGGATACTTAGCTCCTGAATATGCAGGTTAAACTACTGTTTTCCTGTCTTGATCTTATTTTTCTTAACTCAATTGTGCTACTGAAAGCATGCAACTTACAATTCGCCAATATGATTTAAGTACTAAGTCGGCTTCTTTTTACTTTGACATCCTTCTCTTCTTGTTCATTTCCTGTTACACTAATCCTTATTGTTTGCAATTTCAGTGACAGGGAAAATCACAACTAAAGTTGATGTCTTCAGCTTTGGTGTGGTGTTGGTGGAACTCTTGACAGGCTTGGTGGCACTTGATGAACAAAGATCAGAGGAAAATCGATACTTGGCCGAGTGGTTTTGGAAAGTAAAGGCAGATAGAGAAAAGCTCATTGCTTCCCTTGATCCGGCGCTTGATGCAAAAGAAGATATATATGATAGCATCTTTGCAGTAGCAGATTTGGCTGGACATTGCACAAATAGGGATCCAAATAATCGCCCTGACATGGGATATGCTGTGGTTGTACTTTCAGCACTTGCTGAAACATGGAAACCAACTGAAGGGACAGAAGATGAATATGGCATTGATTACAGTTTACCTCTTCCTCAGATGTTGAAGGGTTGGCAGGAAGAAGAAGCCGCCAAAGGTTTCACCGGTTCAAGTCAAGATAGCCAGGGCAGTATACCTTCTAAACCAGCTGGATTTGCAGATTCGTTAACTAGTAATGATGCACGATAGCAAAGGTAGCTATTGAGATGCAAACCTATTATGCATATCTTGTAGCGGTGATACTTTTTTCTTCTTTTTTCTTGGTTTTATGGCCATGTAGATATACAGAGAAAGCCATTTTTACACAATCTACTCTCAATTTTCAGTAATATTATCGTCAAATCTTGAGTTTGAGTTAATTGCAATGTCACTGAGTTATACATGTTATGATTAAACGCTCTTGTTGAATATTCATGTATGTGTACAAATGGCTGACATTTGCTCGAGTTTGTCTTTCATTCTTGGCGACACTGAATGTACTAGCCATGTTCAATTTTTTGTTACTCTTCACATGCATAACTACCTCACATCTCTGCTATCACATACTGTATTATGTTCCACATGTTATGTATAAACTCTGCTTTTGATTATTTGAGAATGTGCACAAATCGCGGACGTTTGCTCGATTTGTCATTATTTGTTGCAGATAATTGGATGAACAAACCATGTTAAGGTTTTTGTTAGACTATTATCGTGGATTTTGACTTCACATCTCTGCTTCCTGTCATTTTTTCAAATTGTACCTACTGAAGTTCTCCCGATGTGTGCTTGCGAAAGAAAAGTTGTCTTGTAGTCATTTTTAGTCTTAACTTGAGACCATCTTGCCATGTATCGATCAGCTTGCAGTCATTGCATCAGATTCTTATACTAGTGTACTCTGTTAAAATGAGTGTTACTCCAAAGGGAGGTAAAAGTGATAGAAACTTTAAAAGGATTTGAGCCACCTTGGAAGCGTTTAGAATGAGACATGAACATATAGGAAGTAGCAAATGTGGTTCTTTAGAAAGGCTAAAATTTTATAATTCTCTTCACAAGCGGTTCAAACTAAAAGTACTGCTCTGTTCATCCAAAATAAGAGTTTTGCTAATTGAACTAAAACAACACAACATATATGACTCTTATTTTGAGACGGAGGGATTACATATTTGTCGCCCCCTTCAAGGGAAGTTTTACATACACATAAATTTTTTGCTGCAAAGAAAGTGTCGGTGGCTATTGGCATCCACAGGAGAGGTGATATTTTTTACCTTGTGATTGATTCCAAAAGCAATGAAACAAGAGAAGAGAAAAAGATTCTTATGGAAACGTGTTTGGCGAGTCGATCATTTCCCCAAGTAAAACGTCAAACCCAGGTGGCCCAGTGCAATAAAAATTGGAAATGAACTCCACACCATCTTCGTACAGTTTTGGTCCTAAGGTTAGGGAGAATTTGTGGGGATCTCTTTGTCTTCTTTGTACGGACTTTTTTTGATTTGTTGCCATCATTCAGCCAAGTGTTTAATGGATATTTTGATCCCACATTCTGTTGTTTGTTTGGTATAGGAAGTTAGGAGGGACCTTTCAAGAGCAAAAGTTGAAATTTTCACTTGAATGATAAAAATTTTAGATCATCCGCGCCAATGTGCATGTAACACTCTCTTCGTACTTCTGTTCATATATTTGATCTAATAGTTTGGTTTTACTGCTAGGTCGGGTGGGAGAGTTGGGTTCGGTGGTTAGGAGATTAGGATGATGAACGGTTATTACGAGGAGGGCAAGGGTTTGATTCTCTGTGGGACCGTCCAATTTAAAAAAAAAAAAAAACCATTCTATTAGGTTGACAATCTCTACTTTCTTTTTCAAAAAAGACAATCTCTCCTTTTAAAACTTCTTTTTCAATACTCGGTGGATTTAACACTAAGGAGGTGCCTGGTTCAAACAGGGAATGATAGTTTGGAATATGAATCATAGATTTCGACTGGGATTCATAGAATAAAGGACTATAATTAGTAGTAAACTTAATTTCAGATTATTAGTTTTGATGTAAACATAAATTGGTATTAAGCCAAAATTCCAATATTATCCTCAGCCACATCACCAAATTGTTGTCCTCTCTTTCCCCCATAACCACCCACCCTGCTCCCTAGCCGCCTCTGATTCTCCCATGACCACCACCCGCCCCTCAATGGAGAAACTCTCCAAATTGAATCCCAAATTCAGGTTATATTCGAATCTATTAGGAGTCCAGTCGAAAAAAAAGAATGGAACAAATTCAAAGAAAAACCAACACAAAATGGCCGACCACCACCACTTTGGTCACCGTTGAAAAATTAAACTATGAAGGCCGGCTAAGTAATTGCAAGGAAGGAGATGAAATTGGAGAAGAGGGTGGATGTATAGAACTCAGAGCCCGGCGACATGAGCTTCCATGAATTCTTTGGTCTCAAAGTTCTTTTGTGGCTGAATATTGTTGGCATCAATCTGTGGTGATCTTTTGATGCGGACAACAATTTTCCGATTTTTGAATTTGTTGAGTATCAAGAATTTATGGTTGTGGCAACAATACTTAAAAGAAAGGAAAAAAAAAACCCAATTGTTGGTGGTGACAGACAGCCAAATTTTATGTATGTGATTTTGCTGGTGGAGATGATGATTGTAGAAGAATGAAAAAGAAGTGGAATGCGTATTGATGGTTGAGGTGACGATTTTGCAGAAGAGGAAAGAGAAGGGGATGATGATTCTGCAAAAGCTGAAGAAGTGAGAAGGAAGAGTAGAAGAGAAGATTATTTTTAGTTCAAGTACAGGGAGTCATACCCTTCAAGTTAATTAGGAATGAAAAGGGATCTCATTATTGGGTTTGAAAACCATTTTGGTGGGACCATGTTTCTAACCAAGCAACAATATTAGGAATGAAAGGCATAGAAATGAATTGATACCCTCAAACCAAGCACCTCCTAATTTTTCTGCTGTTTTTCAGACTATTGGCAAATCATGCAACTCCGTGAGACACGTTTGGATCTTCTGGATGCAGAATACTGTGAAAATCAGTTTTTTCTATCACTAAATACACAAGCAAGTTTAAAATGGGCCTGGCAAAGTTGGACGAAATGTTTTTTAAATTTAAGCACCAAATAAGAGGCCTATTAATTGAATAAATGAAATGAAACTACGAAAAATTAAACCCCTCATACGGCTCATAGCGCAGCAGCGTATAAAAGAAGGCCGGCGGGTAACAACCAATCTGCCGCTAAACAGAATGGTCCAAATTTTTCAACCAAGTTTTTAGAATTATCTCGTCGGCCTCGTTTTATATACAATTACAAATACCTAGTCTATTACATATGGGTGAAACCTATGGAGAAGAAGTAATACTACTAGACTCCACACGCGCACGCCTTTATCTGATACTCGAAAAGCCTGCACAACTCAACACACAAGATAAGGTTTAAACCTGGGACCTCCAGGTTGATACCATGCCCATTTACTACTTGGACAACTCTTTGTTGGCTCTCGTCCACGTCGTAAATTTATCTTTAGAACGTAATGAGATCGTATTTGTAATATCTAACCTAACTATCCAGATAAAACAAATAAATTATTAAACTTGGTAATTTATTGATTTACATTATTACCTGTTCAAATTTCAAATATCAAATAGTCTCATTTTAAAGAGTATTAGACAATTTATTGCCCCTAAAGGAATCCATCATTTCATTCCTACCCTCTAACCTTTAGCGTGACAACTCTTGCTCCGTAAAGGGTAGAAAAGAAAAATCTTTACAATTCCACAACTCTTATGATTATCCTCACACCTTAGCGTTTTCTTCTTATATTTTATTAAATTTAGATTAGTCATTGTTATCGACGATGAACACTCGATAATATGTAAAATAAATAAATAAATAGAAATTAAAATTTGTATTAAAACTAGATGTAAAAATATGGACTACTTTTTTTTTCCTTTTTGAATAGAGGGAGTAGTATTTTAAGATTAACAAAATGTAGAAATGCAGAAAAGAAACATGTATTAGACATATAAAAATATCTCTTATTATTTTCATATGGTAATCAGTCAATTTATTTCTCCATAAATTTGCAACACTATTCTTTTTAAATATTTGATCAACATGAGCCCCCAAAGTTAGCTTTCTGTTTTCTCTTCTTTTGTCAAAACGGATAATATATATAATATTAAACCAAAAAAAAAAAGAAAAGAAAAAAAGATTATAACCACATACAAATTGAGCAAACCAACCGAACAATTGACTTAATCAATCAGATGATTGAGCTAAGAGATTGAGTTACCATAATTCTGAATCATACCGTTAGACAAAATTTAGCTGATTAAATTAAACATATTGTAGTTCATTTCTATAAGTGAAGTTCCAAGCCAACAAAAACTGAATGAAATCGTAAAATGAGTTACTTTGGTGTATCCATCTTAAAAAATGGTTAGATGGGGATGTGGAGATCAATTAAGCAGCAATAAAATAGAAAAGAAAAAAGGTCATTTATTTTATGACGATGATGATGTAATTAATGACACCATATTTGTTAATTTGTGATGATGAAGAAGATGAAGATGACAGCACATACACACACATATATATATATATATATATATATATATATATATATATATACTCTTCATTTACTCTATGTATATCAATCAATCATCTTTGACCACTGTCACGTATATATAAATTTAGACATCTACTAATTTCGTATTCCTCTCCCCCAAAGCTGTACTATCCTCAAAACCACCTTCGTTTTTTCAAAAAATGGACATCTTTTTCTCTCTGCCACAAATAAATGTTCTGAACCCAGAAAAGATGGTAGTACAAAAATAGGGGGATATATATATATATGATGTAAATCGAATCTCCTCCCCCTCCCTCCCTCGAGTGCCTACATTATACAGAGCTATTTATTATAGCTCCTCTGCTCTGCTCTGCTCTGCTCTGCTGTACTTCTTTCTTCTTCTTCTTCTTTTTTTTTTTTCTGTCAAAAAGAATAATCAGTGGAAGAAAAGCTTCAGAAAGGAAGTTTGTGGGGGCATTGGCGTCTTTTTCCACTCCATAAAAGGTAATAGTACTAGATTGAATCATTGGAAATAGGAAAAAAAAAGAAAAAAAAAAAGAGACCAGATAAAGAAGAATCTCCTCAACCGTACCCTGATACCGACTCCCAGTTGTAGTTCCAGTTTTACTAACGGAAACTCCTTGTTTTAATTGTACCCCTCCAGCCGGAAAAACTTTTTTCTGTCATAATTATGGCCCTGCTTTGTATGTATATAGTATAGATAGCTAGCTAGCTAGCTGCACTTTCGCCAGTAAGATTTTGCATGGATTTTGTATTTTGGATTTTTTTTTTTTTTTTTGTAGTTCTCCTCCTATCTCCCTGAAATCTTATGCTCAAATTTACACATTTTGGTACATTTACTTCACTGAACACATCCAAATTCAAGTTGACATATACTAAATACTCCTCCGGTCCTTATTATAAGGCATTTTGATTTCGTCTTAAATTTCACCTAAAATGTCGTTTTAATTGAAATAAAAACCTTAAAAATATTTTATAATAATTAGGAGAATACAACAAATATGAAAATATATTTTTAAAATTTTTTTCAATTAAAAAAAACATCCTAAATTAAACGTAGGGCGGAATCAAAATGACTTATAATAAGGACCGGAAGGAGTATGTATGTGACAACTAATTGTTATTAGGTGTGCAGAGTCTATTAATAAATGTCTCATTTCAATATTTTTTTGAATACTTTTTTCATACCGCAAAAAAAAAAAAAATTATCTGAAAACACAAAATAAAAAAATGATCTAAACATAGTAGTTTGTTCTATATTATCTGCAAAACACACTCATATTATAAGTACCTGTGCACTATGAGTAAAAGTGTGTTAAAACAAGGGGAAAAAAAATTGGAAGAAAACTCGCGGCTTCTTTATAGAATCTAATAAAAAATGAATTGTCGCTGCCTCTGATTCTAATAATTTAATCAATATTTGAGTGTGATAACTAGATTAATGGTAGTGTGTTTAGTGTTACATTTACAAATGCTTAAACGTGTTGCACGTAATTAGCTTTATTGCTCATTTTAGATATTTATATTTCATACTAATAATATCAATAACCTACTTTTAATTTATTGATCAACTTCCGTGCAATTGATTGTATCAAGAAGAAAAGAGAAAAGAAAACAGAAAAATCCTTCCGTGCAATTGATACGGGATAGAATAGAAGAGGGGTGCATATACTTGCGATGGGCCATTACTTCTAAAAGGAACTCAATAGTTAAAAAAATGTTAGTTCACTGTACTTTAATTTTCTCTGCTACAGCCTTGACAATAGAGATAGGCGAAAGGTTATTGGGAAATGATGCAAAAGAGCAAAGTCGTGGACGCAAAATATTTTGGTAGATGATATCATGGATAATATTTTTTGGTTGAAAAAAGTTTATTTACCCTGTAAAACTATCAAATTTATTAAACACGCATCAACACTATCGTGTTTGGGATTTGTTTTCAAACATAAATGCAACATGCACACGGTTAATATCGTTAATGAGGACTACAACTTTTTTTTTCCCTTTGTCAGCTTTTCCCTCACAGTTAATGAACAACTAATGAGTCACATTAGAAAGAAGATTTGGGGTTTGGTATTACTCCCTCCATTTTAATTTGTAGATCGTTTTATGTTTTGCGAGATTTTTTAAAATATAGGTCGTTTTATAAATTTTAGGCATATTAATAACTATTTTTCAACTTTACCCTCAATAAATGATGCCAATATATTTTCATTTAGTCTTGTTTATAGTTCCAATGTGATTAACGAGGGGTAAAACAGATATTTAACACATAAATTAATTGTTAGATGATTGTCTCCTTAATATACGTGCAAAGTTTAAAGTGATCGATCTACATTTTAAGATGGAGGGAGTAGTACTAAAAGTCTAAAAACTACAGTACTTTTCCCACAGAACATATTTAGCCACCTTAACAACACTCTCAATTCCTAGTATCCACGTTTGAAGCTTATCCGAGTTAAACTCGATCCATTTCAAAAAATATATTGTAGTGAATTACAACTTGCATGAAAGAAAGATCATAAATCCACAATCCACAACTTGCAGAAAGAAAATATATAGTACTACTATGTAAATGTTCAGATGGATTAAAAATGTATGTGCTGTTTGGAACGTCTTGTCAGTATGTGATTTTTCTGTTAAACGATGTACTCCCTCCTGACCTTAAGTTTCATCTAAAATGTCTTTTTTATTGAAATAAAAATCTTAAAAATATTTCCTAATAATAAGGAGAACATAACGAATGTGAAAATATATTTTTAAGATTTTTCTTCTAATTAAAAAAACATATTAGTTGAAACCTAGGACATAATTAAAATGCCTTATAATAAAGACGGGAGGGAGTATTAAAAATGTAAACAATATGTGGAGATGGTAAATACATTAACCAAAAGGAAGAAAAAAAAAATTTGTGAAAAACTAATCCAAGCAGAGCCGATTCTGTAATTTCTGCAAATTAAAAGCACCTGAGAGGCTGCAAAAGGAACTGATGTAGTATTTGAGTGACAAGGGGTTCCAATATTTAAGGCTGCGCCGACCTCCCGTTGACAAGGGTGATATCCGTACGCAAGCAACTCGTCATTGTCATCATTTCTTCAATAAATCCAATTTGTCTCAGTTATTTTTCACTATACAAAAGAAAGAAAAATGTGAGATTCTGGCGGAGATTCTTTGCCTGCGGAGAGCATTGAGTACTGTACCTGCAGTCGTATCTCAGTTATTATTATTGAGTAGTGGTATTATTATTATTATTGTTATTATTATAACAACTTTCTTCAAAGAAATGGCTGCACATGCAATCATTTGATGCTCCCTCTCCCTACCCTTCTATAAATAGCCCACTTTCAGAATTGACATCTTACTCCCATTTCTCCAAGTAACATTTCTCCTGTTCTTCCATTCTCATCTGTTTTCGTGAGATAACTTAAATACCATTGTCCAAAAAAAAAAAAAAACCCAAAGAAAATGGCCTCCCTTTCAAAGAAGACTACTGTTTTCAGCTTCCTTGCTGCCTTGTGCTTCTTCCTCTTTGTGGCTCAACTTCAGTCTTCTGGTAAGTCAGTGCGCGCGCGCGCGTGTGTGTGTGTTTTGTGGTTGCTTTTCTGTGAAGAACATTAAAGATTTCGGTTTTGGGTTTGGTATGATTTTTCTTTTTCTGTTTTTTTTTTTTTGTTTGTTGTGTGTTACAGATTGCACCATGAAAGCTGGATGCTTCTGCATCCAGGCAGCTTCCCATGAAGTATATAGCAGAAAGGTGGTGCTCTCATTTCCATACTAACAATAAAATGATGCTTTTTAAGGTCTGTTGTTGTTGTATCCATAATAGAACCTAATAAAAAAATTTCATCTTTTTTGGGTTTTTTTTTCTTTTTTGTTCTTGTTTTGGGGAATTTTCAGCTGCTCACGAGTGTTATGGAGGCTGACAAGATGGTTACCGGAAAAGGTATGAAGTACGGCGGCGGTGCTGGTTGGGAGTTGAGGGAAGCGCCGCTTGGTCCGGATCCGCTGCATCACCATGGTGGAAGTCCGAGCAGAAAGCCTGTTGTAACTCCTTAATTAGTTCTGGTTTTACCTTTTAACTTGCAGTAGTAGAACTAGAATCTACTGACCTAAGACGTACCACATTTTGTTTTGTCTTAGGAATTTTGGCTAAGCTATAATATATAGTACTCTAAGTGGAATATCAGTCAGAAGTTAGATTCTGTCAGTTAGTAGTAGTACTGAGGTCTTTGTTTTCTGGCGTTCCTGTTAGTATGAATGTATGATGGTGAAGTTGTACAAAAAATGTTATTGCAAAATCTCCTTCATGTTTTGGATTTAATTATGGATCAATGGTTTCTTTCATGTGGTAATTTTCAATTTGCAGACATATTAAATACACTGTAAAAGATGTATCATACGTTTTTATGTGACACTAACAATGCAAGTTAATAAACAGCCATCGATTAATTAATCGATGGAAACTCGAATTTTTTTGTATCCTCACATGTTTTCTTACTTCGATGGTAACCAACATCTCTATCACTTTATCTCTTTTCGTCACCTGATTGTTCTTTTAAAATTAATTTTCACGTGGGAATGCTCTTTTTTTGAAAGGTGTAAATACTAATAACAATACTGGAATATACAGTAACACCGATATTAACCAGCTCATGATCAGACTCTAGAATGGTTGAAAACTTGAAAACAGAAAATGGGTACATAAAAAACCAGTATGTCTCTGTACACTAATAATCTTAAAGTATGTCTCTGTGGCAGTATTTGTGGTGATATAGATCATATCCCTATATATATAAGTTGTTGCAAACCAGTTGTGAATTTCTTTCCACCAGAAAATGATGGTTTTTATACAATAATACTACCTCTCCCGTCCCAAAAAAATAGTTCACTTAATTTAAGTTTTGAGTATTGTATTGTTTTTAATATAAATTTAAAAACTTAATTTGGACTATTTTTTTTTGGGACGGAGGAAGTAATATATTAATAAATCGTAACTCATGAGTGTTTCAATATGCCAGCATAACGCTCATTCATCATTTTAGGAATAATTTGTATGAGATTAAATCTCACATTAAAAAAAAAACCCCCAAAAAATTAGACCTTAAGAATGATACATAATTTGAAAATGAAAATGAATAAGATAAATAAACATTATTATTCCATCGGGTCATAATGAGACAAACAGGGATCCCATATACACCGGTCACGAGTGATACCGGAAGCCTATATGTAGAGAAAACTCATATCTTTATATTTTGGTGTAGATTACTTGTAGTCAATGTTCGAAATCATTTTTTTCTGATTATTCTACAACTGTAAATTTTATTTATTTTTTTTTGAGAAAAAAAATTCTTAATATCTGTTTTAATCACGGGTAAACGTAGAAGTCAAGATTCCAGAAATCACATCATTTTTAATTTCTAGATTAACATCATGCATGCATTAACTGTTCTGCAATTTTTAAGAGGGCCACAGAGCCACCGATTCAATTTTTACAGCGTTTACACATCAATTCCTCTTTCTGCATGCATTAAAACCAGAGATGTATAGTTGTAAAATTATTAAATGAAATATTTTAACCCAAGAGGGTCAAACACCAAATCAATCAGTCTCCCTTTTTGATTTGTGGATTTGATACCTTCTTCTTACACTTGAATCCAAATCCATATCTATATAGTATAAAAAAGCACAAATGAATAATCCAATTTAATCATTGCGTATCATCCAAATTTACCACTATTGTCATCCACCCAAGATCTCTTCTAGTTCTATCTCCCATGCATGTGTATATAGGTCTGGTTTTTATTGACCTTTCACCTATGCATAGTTGATGTGTCAATTCAATGTACTCATTTCATCAAGCAGGAAAAAAGAAAAAGAGAAAGAAAGAAAAGCTAGCTATCCCAAAATCTTTACAATTTATACGGCCTTTCTCCTGAAATGATTATTGACTATTTTCAGTTTTTCATTTTTTATTACAAATTATACTACAAATAAAATTCTAAACTGAACAAATATTTTGGAACATATAGAATATTTGTTATGGGAGTTTTATTTATCAGAAAAAGATATATATAATTTGAATTCAAAGAATGGATTAAATAGTTTTTGTACATCACATCGAGTGTGTAAGACGAAAGAGAAAAAGAAAAATACACTGTTGATATTCTTCTGACGTTTAAAGAATATGTTCTTCAGCCTTGCACTGGGATCCTTTGGCCTTTGGGGTCTGTGCTTCTGATATATCAAGTATCAACTGGAGGCGGAAAGAAACCTCAAAGGGATACTTATTTTTTGTTTTTTTTTTATTTTGTAATAATATGAAATTTAAGAATATAATTGATGTTACTTATAGTTAAACTTCCTTAATAAGAATAATATGAAGATTATACAAATAATTTTCACTTTGTTTTGGAATTTGCAAATTGGTGTAGTAAAATATTCAATAGGTTTCAACTTCAAGTAACACTAGACACATATGGAGAAAGATTAAAGAAGAAATTAAGCACGGAGGAATCTTTCTTTTATGAACACACTATGTTTAGTCCCCTATATATATTGATAACACAGAGAAGATGGTAGAGACATAATGAAGCACAAAGTCAATAATCCAAAGAGTATAGAAGAAGTCAACTTAGATTGATGAAATAGTTATTAATTAATTTTGATTATTCTAAATGCTTTATATGAAGCACTTGCTATAAACCCAAAAAGCAGCCTCTCATTGAATTTTGGTGAAAGTCAGCTTCATAGTACAATAAACAAGACAACCATTTATATATATATTGGCATATATTACAACCATACCTTACTTCACCTCACTTGAAAATTTTACAACAACAAAAGATCAATGAATGAAAGAACTTGTGTAAGTAGGTATCTATCTGTAAAGAAGAAATGAATATGATCACATTAATTGTCCACTGCTTGAGGGTCAAGCCCCATTTTCTTCCTGGTTTTCCCAACAAACAGATCCTTGGATTTGATCATACCAGGAATAAGCCCAATTAGTGTTGTGAATGGGAATTGAGCCACAGCATCATGCCTTCCAAGGGAGACTATCACCTTTATAGATTGAGGCTTATAAGTGGCCATCTTGCTTTCCTTCTCTCCATCCATCAGTATCTTTATGTTTTTAGCAGCAACCACAGCATGTTTCTGAGCCAAATATCCTTGCTTAATTTCCTAGAGCATATAAGCAGATCATTTCACTAATGAGATACCGCTAGTATGTACTATAAGTGTGACAGATGATCTGATACTATTAGTATAAGAAAATCGGAGAAATGAACAACCACCAAATGCAAGAGTTTAGAGCTTACCTTAATATCTGTAATGTCTCCTATTGCGAAAATGTTCTTGTGACCCTTGATTCTCATGTAGTCATCAACCTTCAACCTCCCATTGCTGTCCATGTTATCTTTCAAGATGGTTTCTTTAAGCCACGCCGAACCTAATGGCTTTCCAGTGCATAAGAAATGACAATCTGCCCTAATCGTTTCGCGAGATGAAGTTCGGTATGTCTTGCTGCCATCTGAATCAACACTCTCCATTTCAACAACAGATCGCTGCAACTTCACTTCTACATCTTTTGTTTTCAACCATTCCATAGTTTTGTTGGAAGCTTTGGGTCCGATGAATTCCAGCAACCTTGATCCATCATGGACTAAGGTTACTTTCTTTGCTGGAAAATCAACAGCAATCTCAGCAGCAAGTTCAACACCAGTAGGACCTCCTCCAACAATCATGATTGACTGAGCAGCTCTTATCTTTTCATTCTCTGCAAATCAACAGAAGACTAACTAATACACTTGGATTCAAGAATACCTTTGGATCATGCATCAACTTTAACAGATAATGCTACACAAAAAATTTCCCATCTTTCTCTGCTTTAACAGAACATTGGACTATTTGGGACCAGAAAAGATTAGTATCCTAAGTAAGCCAACAAACAAATTCCAAAACCCTGAAATGGATTAGTCTATTACCTGCTTCATACTCTCTAAGTCTCTCTCTCCTGGTCTTGGGAAAGGGATCATCATGGCCGGTGGCGACGACCAAGTAATCGTAACCCACGAGGCGTCCCTCAGCAGTTAAAACATCAGAATTGGTGATATTGACAGCTCTGGATACAACGAGACGGCCATTGGAGAGGTAGTCTTTATGGTTGATAACTGATCTCTCAGCAAATGAAGGCTCCACCATTCCTCTTAAGCTTGCCCATGGGATTTCAAAGTACTCTTTCCTGTTTTATCATATGATCACCATTAGCAATGCAAACACAAAAGTGAGTGACACAAGTATCTCTTTTCTACTGATTAGATGTATGGAAGGAGATTCATTCAAGACAGGACAACCAAAATACAGATTTTACAAGGTCTTACATTGATCCAGAATGAGCTGAAGAACTTCAATAGTCAGATAGATTGTTCTATTTGCAGTATCTACTTCTTCACTTTTACATCATTGTTATGTGGAATCGGATATATGGGTCGTTCTCTGGCCAAACATAAGTTCTATCATTCTCCATGTTTTGAACATCCTTAATTCCTTCTAGCAAAATTTCAGGATATATCATTAGGATTTTTCTTTTTCTGTTTACATACCATTAATGAAGCTAGTTAAGCAAAATTTCAGGGCAAAATGCAAAGTTTGCATCATGTCTAAAACCAAACTGCTCAAGAAGTTCTATGTAGCAAACCTTCTTTCTTCCTAGTTAATTTCTTTAGTTCTTATAACCAAAGGGCCAAGAAGATAGCAGATGTTCTGATCATTATCTTTATGATCAAAACAGAACAATGCAATATATATTTTCAGTCATTCATACAAGCTAAGAATTTGAAACAATTCAAATAGCTTAATCTGAGAGCAAGTTCACAAGCTTCTTTACAAGGAAGTTCAGAAGGCAAAATAACTTTCACAAATTAGACAGATCTTTAGATGATCAATTAGAAAAAAAAGAATTGTGTAATGACAAAATGTGATACAAGTAAAAACAGAGGAAATTGAACAGGACAAAGAGGTAGATTGCTTACACATCAATGAGGGTGACATCTGCAGTGAATTGAAGAGACTTAGCAATGAATGCTCCGGCGACTCCACCTCCGATCACCGCCACTCTCCTCCCTTTTCCTCCTCCAAACTCCATTGGTTTCTCCCTTCCCAAAGACCTCGACTTCTTCAATGATTCCTTCTCAATTTGCTATTCAGTACCAACCATGAAAATAATTTTATTTTTCTAATCTACCCTTTTGACATTATAGCAAATAATGGCATTAAAAAAGAGATTGAAAATGACAAGTTGAAGCAATCAAGAATTGGCCCCAGGAAAAACTGGCAAGATTTTTGTACATGTGAAGGTGACTTGGGTGTTTACTTGGTCTTAATTTCATTGTTGGGAGAATGACAGTTTGATCCAGAGATATTTTATCTTTGTTAAAAAAATGAGAAAACGCGGCAAATTGGGATCTTTAAATAATAAAGAAAGTCCTCAAACGCCAATTTTGTCAACACCTTACTGAGAAAGATTCTAGGAATGTTCATCATAGGTGGATGAAGAACTTGTCAACTAAGCATCTCCGGTTATTAGCCTATTTTAATTAATGGCAAGCTATCTTAATTCAACAACATGATTTTTACTTTCAAACCAAAGTTCATAGTATGGAAATGTTGTGGCGTAAAAGGCATAAACACAACAAACCAGCGGAAATGATTCTCAGAAAAACTCCTTTCTCACTACCAATAAAATAGGATAACAAACCAAGCCAACCAAACAAGCAAATATCAAAGAACTGATAAAGTAAAGTAGACACGCAAATTTACGTGGAAAACCCAAATCGGGAAAAATCATGGCACTGTAACAACAGTCAAATCTCCACTATCACAATCATAGAAAAACAGTCTTCACAACCGGTGGTTACACAGGGCTTTACCCGAAGGTGGATTACAACAATACTTTTCCAAACAAACACTAATCGCACAAAGTGAGATTGGAAGGATCTCACCAAAAGAGAGCTAATCTGAAAACTAAACCAGAGGATTTGTAGATCTTGTTGGGAGGAACAAACGTGCAAACTTGCACCAACAACTGACTCTGTTTCGTCACCAGATTAAAGCCTCAAAGTGAAACACTTTCTTCTCGCAACGTCAAAACCTCGAAATAACTTTTCTTCTCTTTTCTCTCGCACACACGAAGATGCGCGGCTGAATTCTCTCGCACAAAACAAGCGCGATTTGCTGCCGAAATTTCCACACACAAAGATTGTGCGATAGCTTTGCTTTTATAAGCAAAAACAAACCCATAACCCAAAAGTAATTAGGTTTCCACTTGGCTTTTGGTTTCATGTATCGCTAGGCTTAAGTGAGAAAACAGGCCCAACAATCTTCCCCTTCACCTCAATTGGGGGGTAAAACCAAACCGGCTTCCTGTCTGCAAAACAGGAGTTTGTCTCTACTCACAGTCTTCGTCAACATATCGGCACCGTTGTCATCCGTATGGACCTTCTCAAGAAACAACACCTTGAACTCCAACATATCCCGAATCCAATGATATCTCACATCAATATGTTTTGACCGCGAATGAAATGTGAAATTTTTTGCCAAGTGAATAGCGCTCTGGCTATCACAATACACCACATACCTCTCTTGCTTCATGCCAAACTCTTGTAAAAACTTGTGCAACCAAAGTACTTCCTTACAAGATTCAGTAGTTGTGATAAGTTTTGCCTCTATAGTAGACAAAGCAACACATTTCTGCAACCTACTTTGCCATGAAACTGCTCCCCCTCCATAAGTCATCAAGTATCCACAAGTAGACTTTCGACCATCCAGGTCACTCGCTCAAGCCGGCAATATAGTCCATGGACTCTAAGTCCATCCAAGTCCACTGGATTTTTATCCATCAAAACCCACCCGTTTAAATTTTTGGGTTTGGACGGATATGGATAAAAGCTAAAGTGGATGGGTAAAGGTAGTCCAAATTAACCCGTCGGGTACCCAAAATTTGGATAAAAATTACCCACGCAGTGCTTTCTTCACACTTCATCAAATCCCGTCGAACTTCAAATTTATCGATCTCCGATTGAATTCATTTTCTCCAGTGACCTCAAAACAATTTTCCCGGCATTTGTTAAACCCTTTTCGAATTCGTCTTATACCCTCTTAAACCCTTTTCATTTCTCACACAATCTCCCCCAATCGCAAACCATCGAACTCAACCTTAATCACTCATTCATCCTTTTTCTGCCTACCACCCCATCATCCCATTTCAATCCCCTCTCTCTCGCTTCCTGCTACTATCAACTACAACTTACATCACCATCCTTTCAATTTTTTTTTTAAAGAAACTGCAAATTAAACTAGGATAGGAGAGATTATGTTGTAAACTTGTGATCGAGGCAAAGCAGGAAATGAAAGGTTCAAGAAAGGAAAATGAAGGGAGGTCGGCGAGCTAGAATAGATGAGAAGTGGAAGCTGAATTATTGATCAGGGGAGAAAAAAGAACAAAGGAGGAGAAAAGAGGTCAGGTAATGGGAGACTAATTGTCGATTCGTTATATTGGGAATTGGAATTTTCCCTGTTTCACTTTGGGCTCTAAATTAGTTTAATTCCTTGGCAATTAGAAGCTATATAGCTGGTTATTTGGGGTCCATTATTTTATAATATGCTTTCCTTTGCTGCAAAAAAATCTCCATGGATTTTATTGATTTTTTTTTTATTTTATCTGCATGACGGGTTTGAATTGGGATTTCTAGCATTGACATATTTGGTCCCGTTTGTTGTTTATCTTTGTTGTTTATGCTCATGTTTTGCTACTAGTATTTTTGGTAACTTGTTATTTGACTCTTTGGTGGCCTAATATTTTGTCTGTCTCCTCTTTTTCTGGCTTTTTATGGCATAGGTTTGATCATGAGTGGAAGAAGCTTGAAGCATTCGTTGGGTCTAAGATAGTGATAAAGGTGAACATAAGTACATAAGTGCAGGAGTAATATTGAATCAATGGTCAAATTCTTCCATCTTCTCTCCTGGAAGCTCAATTAGTGGTAATTCAGTTGCTGCTGATCTCTCTCGGGCCGTTTTGATTCTTCCGTTGCGTGAATTGAACCTCACTCTCATTAGAGGTAAGCATGTAACTATTCTTTCCCGCATATATATTAGTTTTTAGTACATTTTCCAGCTGATATAACTAAAACGATTGGTTGGGTTGAACTTTGAAGTTGAATTTGTCATAAAAACTTCGAGTTCTGTGACAAATTCTTAGTTTGCTTTAGTGTAGTTTGTTGGAGCATTTCTTTCATCATTCATTGTATAATTTCTAGAATTTTCCTCCCTGTTGAATTTTGTTGCATTTACCTGTCATCTAAATTGACTTCGAAGAATGCTTAATTACTTTAGTTTATCTGATGTGGGGCTTCACACTTAAGAAATCTGTGAAAGCATGAAGTTTAAGTTGTAACTAAAACTTTCCTTGATAGAATATGGTATGAAGTTTAGGTTGTAACTGAGGCTTCTATACTGTATTTTACGCATGTATTGCAGTAGATATCTTGTTAGATGGAAGCTTAAGCTTTGGTTGTATGATACAGGGGCAATACCAATCTGATTGTGATGGAAGAGAATGAGAGATTGGATGAGGAGATGGGCGATGAAGTCTCTAGTAACTCATCAAAAAGAATCCGGACGTCGAGAGTTTGGGAGGTCTTTGAGAGAAGGCCTATGGATAAAGATGGGAGAATAAGAGCCAAGTGCTACAATTGTACTAAACTTTTAGTAGCTGACTCGGGAACAAGTAATATGAGCCGCCATATAATGACTTGTCTTGGCAAAGAAGGAGAGAGTTCCAGCCGCCATCCTTCTGTGGATCAAAAGGAGTTTCATGATGTTCTTTCTAAATCAATTCTGAGGCATAATTACCCTTTGAGTGTGGTAGAACATGAAGGGACTAGAGAAGTACATAAGTTCTCGAATCCAACAGTGAGCAAAATCTCAAGAAATACTGCAAAGGCGGATCTTCTACAAATCCACAAGTTGGAGAACGAAAAGTTTAAAAAAGAGTTAGAGTTAGTTCCCGGTAGGATTTGTTTGACTTCCGATCTGTGGACATCTCGAACGAGTGATGGGTATATGTGCGTGACGGCACATTATGTGGATCGGCAATGGAAGCTACAAAAGAAAATCCTGATTTTTCGGCACATTCCTACGCCCCACACGGGCGATCTTTTGGGTGATTATTTGCTTCAGTTTTTGGTCGAATGGGGTATAGACAGAAAAGTCTTTTCCATCACTTTGGATAATGCTTCGAATAATGAAGGGATGGTGAAATGTTTAAAAGGATACCTTAGAGAGACTAATTCGTTGATTGCAGATGGTAATTATATTCAAGTTCGTTGTGCTGCTCACATACTTAATTTGATAGTCCAGGATGATTTGAAGAGTGTTAATGTTACCCTAACTAAGATCAGAGAGTGTGTGAAGTATGTGAAAGCATCTGAGGCTAGAAAGCAACTGTTTGCTAAATGTGTGAGACTTGCGGGGTTAAAATCTAATTTGCAGCTGAAACAGAATGTGGTAACACGCTGGAATTCTACCTACTTAATGCTAAAGAGTGATTTGGAGCATCGAATGGCTTTTTTCCGTCTACAAGCTCAGGATTCAATGTTTAAGGCATGCAACTTCTTTCCTAGCAGGGCTGAATGGAGTCACATTGAAAAACTGACTGAAATATTAGCTCCGTTTTATGAAATCACAACACTGTTTTTTGGTTCAAGTTATCCCACTGCGAATCTCTATTTTCCAAGTGTAAGGAAGATTCAATAGGTTATTGAGAGTAACTTGACGAACCAAGATAAGTTTCTTCACACTATGGCAACTCAAATGTACATGAAATTTGAAAAATACTGGGAATGCTATAGTATTGTTTTGTCGATGGCCGTTATTTTGGATCCTCGTTTCAAGCTCGAATATGTGAAGGCGGTTTTTGAATTTCTTGATCCTATTACGGCTGAGATAAAATGGAAAAATGTTGTGGCTAAGTTGAGGGGGTTATTCATGGATTACACAGTGATGCAACAAATCAGTCCGGCTAGGACTTCAACATCTTCATCAGATTCTGAGGCTATTAATGAGTGTCAACGAAAACTTGACAAGATGGATTTGGTATGTGCTTTTTATATGTTAAAAAACCTATTTACATGTTGCATTGATATGATATATTATATATATATATATATATATATCATAATTTGGTTATCTCTATTTACAGGAGTTTCATCAATATGAGAGTCAAAGAAATATTCAATCAAACTTGTCTCAGTTGGATATTTATCTAAATGAATCAGTGTTGCCTAGAGATGAGAAGTTGGATGTTCTTGAGTATTGAAAATCAAACAAAAACAAGTGGCCAGCACTGTCATGTATGGCTCGAGATGTTTTGAGCATACCAATCATAGTCGTCGCATCAGAATCAGCATTCAGCGCT